ATGGCTTTGTTCACAGTCTGGTTAGGGTCTATGCACATCTGGAACTTCTTTGGTGTTTCTCAGATGAGTATATTGGAGGACCATGGTGATTTTTGTTTGTTTGTTTGTTGTTGTTTTTTTATTGGTTCCCAGGATTACAATGTCATATGTAGAACAGTGATGTACAGATGGATGATGTACAGGCATTATGTCAATATCATGTTAATACACATATATAAGTGGACCATGGTGTTGGTTCTTCTACTTTTGCAAGGATTGCAATCTTTCTCTCCATCTCTCTCTCTCTCTCTCTCTCTCTCTCTCTCTCTCTCTCTCTCTCTCTCTCTCTCTCTCTCTCTCTCTCTCTCTCTCTCTCTCTCTCTCTCTCTCTCTCTCTCTCTCTCTCTCTCTTTACCGCTGGTAGTCTGTGGATGGGTATCTGAATTGGTGTTACACCTTCTTTAACCTTGATCTGTAATGACGGGCCCATGCATCCTACATCTTCGAAATTCTCTGGATATGCTGTCAAGACATTTTCTTTTGCGAGGCTACCGAAGTTAAGTAGGGGTCGCTTACTTGGCACCCTGATTGTCACCGGTTGAGGCACTGAACACTGGCTTGGTTCTTTCTTGTGAATGGCATCCAGACGATTGCCTGCCCACATCACTGCTGAATCCAAAGTCTTGATGTCACCCTCTGTGTGTGTGAGTCCTTAGCTATCTGTGCTTGAGACCAAGTTCTGGCTTGATAACCTGGCGGGTCATTGTCCTTGCCACAGGCCTTGATTACATTGGCGGACAATGTGTATACTTCATCAGCTTTGATTTCTATCAATCCGATCTTCTCAGAGTCGGTTCCCGATAGGAGAGCTGGTTTTCATTTCATTTCGTGAATTGGAAGCACTTGAAATTTCAGGAGATGATATTGATTTCCCCGTTGACAAATCAGATCCACTTGTCCTACTGGATATAAAGGCTTCGAGTCTCCAGAAGGATGAAGAATGTATGGTGATTTCCTGAGTTTGATTTATATTGCAGGTAGCTGCTGAGTCAGTTTGGTATTTGAATTTAGACCCTGTGTCGGAGGATAGTAGGTTCACAAAGTACTCTTTCCACCACTCTCTGTGTTGATGTTGTAACCTTGTGCGTTAAGGGAAAATACCTAGTAGTCATCATCCTGATCAAAAGTATCCCCATACTAATCACGTGGAATGTCTGTATCCAAATGGTGGGTTTGCTGATGAGTGTCTCTGTTAGATCTCCACCTAATGCCCCCTTTAGAAAAATGGAGCTGATTTCTTGGCTGTCCTATGCATCTACCACCCCGTCCTCGACTCCTGCTAGGCCGCCCTCTTCCCCTTGAATTACAATATGAATTTGACTGTAGACATGCCCTTACAAAATGGTCATTAATTCCACATTTGTCACAGGTCTTGCCTTAGCTGGACATACTTTCCATGAATATGGACCTCTCCTATCACCACACCAGTGACATGTACCTGGTTCTCTTCTCAACTTCTTGTCCTATGTACCTGTTCATATATGTTTCTGCTTGAGTCGATGATTAGTTTGTTTGCTTCACTGACAACGTCAGACATTATGTCATATTGTTATCTGCTTGTTTTATATGTCTTGAGAAGTTCAGCTCTATCGTTACTGTCATGTAGGCCAATACAAGTTTGTCAAGACACATCTCATCAGCCATTGTTGTAAAATTAAGCAAAATGGCTGCCGGTCTGACCTTGACTTTCCATTGCTGCACAGATTCATGAGGCATCAACACCCATGGTTTTATTGAAGTCTTCATCGGGGACGAGGTTCAATGGTATATCTAATGATCTGAAGTGCTTCATCAGGCACGAGGTCATGTCAAGTCTTTTATTAGTCCTTTTCAGTCTCAAGATTTCATGATATAGTCACAGTTGTACAATCGACTCTCCTTTAAGCAGAGAATTTTTATAAATGTGGAAGGGTTTTGTCGCTTCTATTTGCAACACTTAAAACAAGAGCACCACCCGTGGAAAGGGTTAAGGGTTACCTCGAACAGATTGTCTGTAAGGTGCCCGATTTCTCTCTGCAGCATTGTGTTGCTTGAGCAGACCAAACACCAGTTCACCCTGACTATGTTAAAGTGTGTCAGCTCCATTCATTTGCTCATGAGTTTCACCAAGTTGGTAAACGTTCCAGACCTCCCAAATAAGGCTGACACGCAGTGATATAACCGAAATGTTCGAAGAAGCATAAACCACACTCACTCACTCACTGTTTTTAATTTCAGAACTTAACTGTGATAGTTGAAGATACGACATTTGCGCATGGCTCAACAAAACTGAAGCCATACGGTGCCGCCTACGACTGCTACACGTCCAATAAAAAATGTGGTCCTAAGGGCACGTTCAACATTGACCTATCAGGAACCGGATTTCGACTGAATCCCAAAGTGAGATCATACATTTCAAGTTTTCCTAGATTTCAATATTCATTACAGCACAGTACACCCACACCAGCACCCTCTCCCCCGAACAATTTTTCCCGAGGAGCAATTCCCCCTGACCTTTGGACTTCATCATTAATATGCACTAGCCCACCAACCACCCATCCCCCCTCCAACCCTGGACCTGCCCTGAATATGATCGGGACACATGTGGTGGTAACTCCCAAGGGAGTTGAGACTGATGTCAAGATGTGCCGTTGAGACTGACATCCAAAGATCGAGGGAAAATTTACCAGCGCCTTGAGCATGCACTAGTGCATGCATATTCACTAGCGCATGGATATGTGCGCTATATAAATATCCAACAATAATAAAAACAAATGTAACAAATTACGAGAAGCCCTGTGTTAACGGACCATGCAAGTCTCTGCGGAGAGTTACTTCCCTTTGATGTGCTTGTCAAATCGAAATTCGTCCCGATTTGTCAGCCTGGCGCGTAGCAAGCACTTTTTTCGTATAAACCCGATAGGTTGCAAAGCTTTATATTTAGATAGTATTAGGGGCTTGCACAACCTTTAAGCAACAATCATGTGTAAGCCCGGGCTTTATTTTATAATGGTAGTTACGCCCCTGACAGCAAACTGACTAACGCTATCACGTGATCTTGATTTGTTATTTCATTTTCCCTTTCGGAATTGACTGAGTTTTTATATAATTAGCTCTCGCGACATAACAATTTCTATAGTTATCTGTAGTCTTTCGCTGCCCTTTTTAAAAAATAATATCATATCAAATCATAAGGAACTCTTAAGTTCTACACTTTGCACTCAGGAATATATCGAGTTTCCTAATCCTAAACGTTTTGTTTTCTTTCAACAGCAAACCTGGAAAGAAGGTGGCTATTATCCAATTGCCAGTATTAAGAGGGTTGATTGTACGAGGGTTAATCTGCTATGTGGTGGCCGCTGCGGATGGTGTAAGCCAGAAGGCTCGCTCAAGCTTGAGCTGAACAATGGTTAAGGTTCAAGGCCGCTGGATGGATGATCCACCGTGTACCTCCATAGGCATATGTGAAACACTGAACATGTTTTCTCTTACCGCTTCGCGTGTTAACACAAGGCATCATCCTGGATCACAGCGTGTATCCTCTTGTAATGTCTTTTCGTATGACGTGGTCGAGGATCGATCCACTGACTTCCTGCTTCCGGGTGGACGCTCTACCCACTGGGCCATGAAGGCGGTGTTGAAATAATTAAACCAACCCATACAAATGGCACTAGCAAACATCCATGCGTAATGAATAGTGGATCATATAATTTGTTTTTTTGCTTATTGCTTATATTATATTATACAGCAATATTCCAGCTATATGGTGGCGGTTTAAATAATCGAGTCTGGATCTGACAATACAGTGATCAACAGCATGAGTATCGATCTACGCAATTGGTATTGAATCATATAACGATCAGCCTGATTAAACATTTAGATTTAGAGATCGTGGTCCTCAACCATTGAACCCCAAAAGATACACTGGGATATACTCTGCTCTGAAATCCAGTAGGGTGTAACAGCAGTTGGTGAGCAAGTTTAGCTTTACGCCGCACTCAGCAATATTCCAGCTATATGGCGTCGGTCTGTAAATAATCGAGTCTGGACCAGACAATCCAGTGATCAACAGCATGAACATCGATCGACGCAATTTGGGATACGCTGACAGCGAGCCTGACCACCCGATCCCGTTAGTCTCCTCTTACGACAAGCATGGGTTACTGAAGATCAATTCTTACCCGGATCTTCACGGGTTAAGCAATTAAGCATGATATTGAGCGTTCATAGTGGTTCCTGTGATAGCCTAAACATAGGGTTCCTGAGGTAGCCTGAACATAGGGTTACTGAGGTAGCCTAAACATAGTGGTTCCTGAGGTAGCCTAAACATAGTGGTTACTGAGGTAGCCTAAACATAGTGGTTCCTGAGGTAGCCTAAACATAGTGGTTTCTGAGGTAGCCTAAACATAGGGTTACTGAGGTAGCCTAAACATAGTGGTTCCTGAGGTAGCCTAAACATAGTGGTTCCTGAGGTAGCCTAAACATAGTGGTTACTGAGGTAGCCTAAACATAGTGGTTCCTGAGGTAGCCTAAACATAGTGGTTCCTGAGGTAGCCTAAACATAGGATTCCTGAGGTAGCCTAAACATAGGATTCCTGAGGTAGCCTGAACATAGTGGTTCCTGAGGTAGCCTAAACATAGGATTCCTGAGGTAGCCTAAACATAGCGGTTGCTGAGGTAGCCTAAACATAGTGGTTCCTGAGGTAGCCTAAACATAGTGGTTCCTGAGGTAGCCTAAACATAGTGGTTCCTGAAGTAGCCTAAACATAGTGGTTCTTGAGGTAGCCTAAACATAGGGTTCCTGAGGTAGCTTAAACATAGGATTCCTGAGGTAGCCTGAACATAGCGGTTCCTGAGGTAGCATAAACATAGGATTCCTGAGGTAGCCTAAACATAGCGGTTGCTGAGGTAGCCTAAACATAGGGTTCCTTTGGAATCCGAGGTTACCGACGCAATAAACTTGTATTGTAATGGAAAGTGTTTCAAGTGTCGTTGTTTCCGGTGTCGTTGTTTCCGGTGTCGTTGTTTCCAGTGTCGTTGTTTCCGGTGTTGTTGTTTCCGGTGTCGTTGTTTGCGGTGTCGTTGTTCCCCATGTTGTTGTTTCCGGTGTCGTTGTTCCCCATGTTGTTGTTCCCCATGTCGTTGTTTGCGGTGTCGTTGTTTCCGGTGTCGTTGTTTCCGGTGTCGTTGTTTGCGGTGTCGTTGTTTCCAGTGTCGTTGTTTCCGGTGTCGTTGTTCCCCATGTCGTTGTTTCCGGTGTCGTTGTTTCCGGTGTCGTTGTTCCCCATGTTGTTGTTCCCCATGTCGTTGTTTGCGGTGTCGTTGTTTCCGGTGTCGTTGTTTCCGGTGTCGTTGTTTGCGGTGTCGTTGTTTCCGGTGTCGTTGTTTCCAGTGTCGTTGTTTCCGGTGCTATTGTTTAATCTCTGGCTGATAGTGGTGAACCCAAGACTCATCTATTGTTACACAACGCTCAACAAAATCAACTGGGTCTGGTTCAGGTTGACCTACGTACTGAGAGAATGAACGTTTTAGAGTGATTAAACCTTCGTCAAGCTCAGTTTATCTATCGGAAATATCTCTCGTTAAGGATACGAGGGTCGGTCAAAAAAGGTAGAAAATGAAAAACGATCTGGCATTTGGTACCTCTTGAATAATGGTATGCTCTCAGATAATATCATATAAAATATGTTCAGTATAGTATTGGATGACTTCCCGCCATAATCAACAGTAAAAGATTTGGACTGTTTGATTTATGTTTAGACGGGGGCTCCCATTTTAGGCTTTCAAAAATATTGTGTCCAGATATTCAAGCTGGCCCTGTTTACAATATATTGAGAGTTGACACTTGTGTACCCATTCAGTATTTAGTTTGAACCACTGGCACCATGTATGAATAAGTGAAAACATTTGAATAAGTTATGTCCTTGTATAACGTCATCTGAAAGAGGGTGGGTAGCTCTTTTAGTAAACATCAAGGGGGAGTCACTTTAACAAGCGATTGTAGTTTCAAAGTGCCTTTTATGCACTTTAATATCTAAGCTTGATTCTAGCGGATTTCTACCTATCTCAAACACACAAAATGTTTCTTGCATGTTTTGTTACCTGGAGGTTGTGATGCATTTATTGCAGATTTTAAGTTTTTGGGGGTACCAAGATATAAAGTTAAACAAAATGGGGATTGTGAGGCTTGAACATTGTAAAACCAATAAAACATAAAAACAGATTATTGCTGCATTTGTGTCATTGTCTAGGTGAGGACATGCTAACACCGTACACGAACACCTGGTGTCAACATTGATTCTTTATGGTCACAAATACATGTCATGCTCAACGGAATCTATTTTGGCGGATAATCATGTCCATGAAATGTGATATTTACATTTTTAGAGACTTCACGTCAACAACATTTCAGTTAAATCACAGGGGAACCACTCGTGCAAACGGAGTTGTTTTCGCACTATTTCACTTTCACTGTTGGCGTACCCGATCTGGAGAACATGGGGTGGCCCAAACCTGTGTCTAAAATTCACCTAGGAATGGACCATCGCCTTTCTACGATGAATGTAGGTTGGAGGCCAGTCAAGGATTTTCTTTTGTGTTAAACGGTAGATGGAACTTAAGTCAAGCATTTGTTTTCAGGTATTCAGGAGATGGGACTTAATTACGCCAAGCGCTTGTTTCAGGTATTCAGGAGATAGGACGGATATCAAATATTAGCTTTCAGGGAATCAAGAGATGGGACTCAAGTCAATCATTTGTTTCAGGCATTCATGCCGAATCAAGACTTTAATCGCCGAGTACTCAACTGTCTGAAAAGCATGATAACATGCCTGACTAGTGAAGACAAATACATGGCAACACGAACAAATAACAAGAGACTAGCTTCTGACTTGAAATTTTATTATGACTCGAACTTCTTAGAGTTATACATTGCATGTAGTTTTATTCGCAAATGATTCAAAAGTTAAACCATTTGGAGATTCAGTCCACAATATTTCTAAAATTTACTCTCCTGCAGGCGCCTCACAGATGACGTTTCCTGTTTTCGCACATTTCCTGTTGAACCATTTCCCATCGGAGGAGCGCAACCGTGCGCATTTCCCTTTGGACTCCCCTACGGTGGGACCTTGCGACGAAGCCCAGTTTTTATAACTGAACTCCGATCCATCAAGCCACTCAAACATTTCTGACGCTGAGTTGTACTTGGTACCTGAAACATATATTTGCATAACTCTTACCCAAACTAAACAATTGTCTTCTTGGTATGGGCATGATGTAGTGTTTTGGGTTTATTGTTTAAAAGTCAAAAGTGAATACTTTGAAAACTGTTTTGAAGGTGACTTACAAATCACAAACATTGTGTACATGTTGCTTAAACACACAGACAGCCTTTACGGCGCTGGTTACTTTACCTGAGGTGTATGGCAACTTGCACACAAAAATTTTATGGTTGCGACTTGTCACTCACAATGTAAAAACTTTTCAAACTATTTCCGTCCGTTTCTTTTTTTTAAAATATCCCAGTGTACAAGTGCCGAGTTTTTTTTTAAATATCCCAGTGTACAAGTGCCGATTTTATATTGTACGTTATATTAAGTACCCGATAGAATGTGAAATACAAACTGGTCCTCTATCATTATCTGACAATAATATATTTTGTGTCATATCCACAATAGTTGCATTACCAAGGAAGACATTTTTCTTGGATATGTCATTCACGGTTTTGGCCACAAAATCGTTTTCCGTTGGATTCTTGATGGTCACCATGCTACTGACACCTCTGAAAAAAACAAGAAGACAAAGTCATCATTATCCCCCGCAATGGCAAAATACTCTCCATGAATATGTCAGTTAGTTACGACTATGCCAAATGTTTTGGAGTGTATATAGCAGTGAGTGAGTTTTATGCTACACTCAGCAATTCCAGCTATATGACATCAGTCTGTAAATAATAGAATCTGGACCAGATAATCCAGTGATCAACAGCATGAGCATCGATCTACACAACTGGGATACAATGATATGTATCAACCAAGTCAGCGACTATAGGAGAGTGACCATAAGGTGTATAGAAACGTTATAAAGTTCTGTTTCGGAAAAGAACAATACCTCCAATTTCACTCGAAGTCAAACTTGCTGCCTTGGAAACGCAAAATATGTTTTATTCAGAAATCCAAAACTACCAAAAGGCACCAGTTCACCGCCAGACCTATCTATCTGTCAAGTTTGGTGAAGAAATAGTGATCGGTTTTATAGGTCTGCTCCGGAAAAGCGGAAAAGGCAAATGTGCAGGGACGGACGGACAAATTACCAGTACCCAATGCAGAAATGAAAAAACAAAACAAAAAAAACTACAAAAGTAGAATAATTAGAAAGTCTGGTCTCAGTGGTACTGACAATCACGTTATCTTAATTCAGCAGAATCTGGTATTTGAACCCATGATCTGCCAAGCCGTTCACGGCAATGGGGCAGTTGAATCAACTGAGTGGCTTAGCACTACTAATCCATCAACTAACTAAACAGATGAAGTAGATTCGAATGGATGGCATCAGTATCATTCTGTTTCCTTCAGTAAGTACATTCACTATAATATTGAGGATATCTTACTGTGTGCATAATGCGTGAGCAATGTCAAAGGTTTTCGCAAAGCCACTGGTATAGAGGTAACACCTCTTGCTGGCTTCTAGGTACTTCCACCCTGAAAAACATAAAAGTAGAATTAAACCTGTGACGCTAAGGTTTAAGCTGGAATCCCAGAAGTAACCTAACATTTGTTTCCAAGCACTATTCCAATGCTTCTAGCCTTCATCAAAGTAGTAAACGTCGAAGACTTGCATTACTTCGGCCTCTCATCCCACATCAAACAGAACGGTGGTGATTTAACGTACATACTGTTTAAAGCAGTTACTGGCTATTGTCTAATATTTTGATCGGATTTCTTGAAGTTTGTGAGTCAATAATAAAGCATACAACTTAACTGATAACAACGTTCTGTCCATTGCACACAGCGACATTTCGGTGTAGATTCGTGCACCGTTTTCAAGCTTAACGTGTCTACTGTTTTCTCTACTTACTCCCTCCTGCCGACTGGCCTCATCCAGTTATGTACCACGTGCTATTCAATTACATGCTGTTGTTAATGTTAATCTGATGTTTGTCACAACATACTATGTATATATACTTCAAATTCTCAAGTCACGGTTGTAGTCACTTTTAGCTTGAAAACGGTTGTTATATATGAAGTTGAGACGGCATTGTATGACCGGTTTATCGCAGTACGGTTTTCAAACGGTATATTGGGTAAAGAACATATGAAGTTTTTGTGATTATCTTTATCTACACAGACTTTCATTCATTCACAACAAATGTTTTCCGTTGTTATTCATCCTGTAACACTATATATTGTATAAAAAAGGAAATTAGAATCCCTAACTGTCAGATACTTAAGTTCCAAATATACAGCATTACGTGTCGCAATACAGGTACCTGAATCGCAATATATTGTAATACAGTTTATTTGCCAATACACCGCCCTACCTAAAGTTGTATGCTGTATTATTGCCCATTGTCTGCCCTGTCAAATTCAGTGTATCTTCATTGTGCTGATATGAAAACATTTTCTGCAACTGATAGACCATAACTGACCTGTTGAACATCTCTTGTTTGCTGAGATGGTTTCTGCAATACAAAGGACGTCAGTGGTATGATGTTCTGTTAATACATCCAGCACATAACTTATAGGAATAGAAACGACATTCATCTGACGCACTAGACCTTTCTAGTGAAATACAGGCGATTTCAGGTACGAAAGAAATTAATGAATCTAACATTGTTTGGTATTTTAACATACCCAGTAAGCACACAGCGCCGTTTTTCTTGCCAGACGATGCAGCAACTTTGCCGTAGAGCATTTTCGAAGATAATTCTGGAAAAAAATCAATACACTATAAAAACAAAGTAGGATCTTTACATTTTTTGTCTGAAAACTGGTTAAACTGTGTAACAGGGACATGTCAGTGTGCATTGTCGTTGGACGTCAAATGACCGTAGGTTCTACAGTAATCATGTTCTAAATACACATACTATCATGATATCACCCTAAAATGGAATATCCCGTACTTTGTTTAATAGTACTTGATAACCCAAGCAATGACATGTCGGCCCGCGTTGCAAAATTTTTAAGTATATTGTAATAAAAGCACTTATCAAAAAACTTAATGCATAATGTTTGCAACTGAAAACTTTAAAGTATCATGTACTCACCGTAGGGTTTCTTAGCCCCTCCTCCCCTGTCCAATAGTCCACCGAGTCTCCATACACATAGATGTGTTGAAGGATTTCAGCCTGAAGAATTCCTCAAATCACTTAACATGCATATGCCTAGGAATATAGGGTTGGCCCTTTGATTCAGAAAGGGCAGATAACTTCATAGAAAAGGGCGTGGTGGCGAGGATAAACGATAAAATGTTCACAAAGTTGAAATCTTTTTTTTTTCTACTGATGTTTTAACCCTTTGAACGTCAGATAATCTTAACTCGAAAGGAAGACATTTTTGGCTATATGTTTAGGCTTTTTGAACATCGGCGTTTCATAGTGTTTGTGAGCTTTTCAAACGACCGAATTTCTGAGAAGTTAGATCCCTTCAAATGAGAGGAGGAATAACATGCAAGCAGCAATTACATTATGTAATTTACACGTGTGTGGTGTCTCCGGAATACTGAATACGTACGTTGACACACACGTGGAACACATTGTTTATCCAGCTATGTGTTTATGGTGATATCGACCTACCCTGTTGTCGTCCGTGACCGTGACCAGAGTGCCCATCCGTGTGTAGCAGGCGTACTGGGATTCAAACTGACTGCCCAGAGAGTTGATCACTGCGTAGCAGGATCCGGATCCGAACCGATTGCCAAAACCGTTGACACCACAACTCTCTTTTTAAGAAGAACAATAATGACCGTCATGATGATTATAATAATATTAATTATCATGGTCACTAGTTCTACTGGGCAGTGATGTGGCAAAGAGGTTAAAGCGTTCGCTAGATAGGTAGCCGATGACCTGTGTTCGATTTCCAAATAAGTACAATATGTGAAGCCAATTTCTGGTGTTCCCCCACCGTGATTTTGCTGGAGTATTGTTAAAAGCGGCGTAAATTACTCCCTCCCCCAATTATGTGTATTGCTGCTGCTGCTGCTGCTGCTACGACGCACTCAGCACTAATCCAGCTATATGGAGGCTGTCTGTAAGTAATCAAGTCTGAACCAGACAATCCAGTGTTTGAGAACACAGATGAGAGGCTATAGAGTCTCAGGAGCTGGTAAACATCCACCTACTTTCCGCTGTAGCGTTGTATATTATTAGTTCATCTGTACCCGTGAAGATGCTGGTTAGAATTGATCTCCAGTAACCCATGCTTGTCGTAAGAGGCGACTAACGGGATCGGGTGGTCAGGCTCGCTGACTTGATTGACACATGTCATCGGTTCCCAATTGCGTGGATCGATGTTCATGCTGTTGGTCACTGGATTTTCTGGTCCAGGCTCGATTATTTACAGACCGCTGCCATATAGCTGGAATATTGTTGAGTGCGGCGTAAAACTAAACTCACTCACTAGTTCATTTGGTCGGGGACCTGTAGGCTGTGCTGTATTGTGTACACTATACCTATTGGTTGAATCTAAACGATAATTATATAGCTTAATATTAAATAATAAGAAGTTGATTATTGTAATATATTCACGTCAACTATCTTGAAGGACAGTAAAAGATAGCCGATTGAGCACAACCTCCTAAATATACTACCCATCAAAAGTTTAGACTCACTTAAAGCACTCACTATATGTTATGTATATGTATGTGGTTACATCGAAGATGAATTTCTCCACCAACTTGGGGGAACCAACTGAAAACCTTATGCAGATGAATTGCACAAGGATGATGCTTCAAATTGCGAAAGGCATGAGCAAATGTCGTGCATGTGAACAGATTCGTTTTGGTGTAAAGTTTTGTTAAGAATTCGCCAATTTTCACAGATTTTAATCATTTACTGAACTCATGACAATAATCTTTTCAATGTTACGAATATGTTTTACAATACACCAGTTCATAACTAAACAGTACCTTTAAACAGTATGGAATATTTTGCAAAAAGCTAGTTTAGAACAGTGGACAAGTAAGTGGCTACATTTACACTAGTGAGTCTAAACTTTTGATGGGTAGTATATTATTGAAGGATAGAAAAATACGCTGTAGAAGATATATTACCTCCTGTTGGCGGCTGGGAACCAACGGCAAACTGACACAGCGCCTTGTTCTTCTCCGAGACAGAACGGTCGTCCCATTTGTAGAGAACACTTGCCCGAATAACTGAAATCAGGCGAAAAAGGTCACCTTAAATGTTTGTAAGTTTAACACAACGAGTGTTATCTATTTCTTGAGTACATAGTTTTTTACTTTTTAAATATTTGGATGATGGCTGCCCTGAATTATTCCCTATAACACTACTACTAGTACTACTACTACTACTACTAACTACTACTACTACTACTACTATTCACTTGTTTGGCTCGCGAAACACGTGCAAACAATAGAATGAGTTTTGATGTAACGTTTTACAGACAAAAGACGTTCTTGTCGTTATCATTATAGTTGGTATTAGTGTTTTCATTACACGATGTCATAAGGCCATATTGTGGTATGATAGCTCACCGTATCCGTCCTGGTTGGCGCTGACCCCTTGACCACTCTGTGTATTGTCGTAGTTGCCGACGGGCGTTCCGTCCACAAACGCCAGCGTCCCTTCTTCTGCAATATCATTGAGGCCAAACCACGCGTCTACCCCTTTGGGTCGCATGTACTCTACCACGTCATCCTGGGAACATTGAGAAACAATTGGAGATATTGAATACGAAGAAGAATTGCAGGAAGGATGAGATCTTTTCTGGGCCCAATGGTGCCATTTTTACACTTATGGTAAACTTCGCATGTAAGTGTTTTCAGATACATTCAAACGGCTAACAATACACCAATCAACAATCGCTTTATCTTTAACTAAGTTCGGGTCACTGATCAAAAATAATATTATATATTTTAGCACGTTTATACTGAGTGTCCTTATGCCTACAACTCCAAGAAAAGAAAATCCGCTCAAGTCTAATACTTTCTCATATTGGAGCGACTCGTCATGAAAACCTTTCAAATAAGCAGTTCGTCACACATGTACCATAATGTGAGCAACTAAAGCCTCTTACATCTTGTTATAGCTGTTTTCAGCAAGATTAATTATCTGACAAAGTAGAAGACAATCCTGGTGCCTGTTCAGACCTTGTGATGTTCAATCTACTTACTACAGTCAGTATTTCAAATGCCTACAGTTGAAGCTAATGTCACATGTATGTCACATATTTGCACACAATGACAATTCAGTGGCGTCACTGCGTATCGGGGATAAAGTCAATGTTCAGCCATGGTGGAAACAACTACATTCAATGTGAGGTGAGGTGAAATTGGGTTTTACGTCGTGCTTGAGAATATTTCACTCATATGACGACGTGCATGCGTGTGTATGTGTATGTGCGGCTGCATGTACTAGCCCAGACTTAAGCTGGTTTTATAGTGCTAGCCCACTGAGATACCATGCCGCAGTGAAGCATGAATACCCCACTCAGACACATTATACTGACTCCGAGCCGACCAGTCCTTGTTGTACCCATTAATGCCGAGCGCCAGGCAGGGACCAACAAGTACCATATTTAACGTCTTTTGGTATGACGCGGTCGGAGATCGAACCCGCGACCTTCCGCTCTCCGGGCGGACGCTCTAACCACTACACCACGGAGGCGGTTACTAAATACAATGTAACGATTGCTGCTACATTCGACTAATCGGTACCGATTGGACATGGTGGCGTTCCAGTAAATGTATAGAGGGCAGTCACTCACAGTCAGTCATGTTCATGGGGCTACAGGCGCCAGAGATCATAGCCAACATACGAACATGTTTGAACCAGCGGAAGAATACCGAACGATAGCAGACTAAGAAATAACACTGAACAAAAACAGTTATGTCCACATTCACCTCCTTCACCGTCCTACCTGAATTTGTTCTGAACTGATGGTAGCAAGGTTCCCCACAAGGTTAACGCATGTCTTTTGGGCATCAGCGTAGGCGCCCTCCTCTGGCGTCAGGTAATAGCACTGGCTATTGATCACAACACCGGCATTCTCAGGTCCACATGCCTGTAGGCTTGAACTTTTGGGCTCTGAACAAATATACGGTACAAACTGTATACGGTACAAACTGTATGTATCTATCTCATTTACATGCTTTAAAAATCTTTTAATAATATTTTTACATTTCTCGGATTACTTGCCTGCAACATTACGACAGAATCTCTGTTAGTAATTTGACAGCTATAAACAAACTTCCAAAAGTTCACGAGCAAGATCAACCGGAGCATGGAGACAACATCCAGGTCGATTTCCTAAGTGATTCGTGTATCGTTTGTTTATCGTTTCTTACACTTACACTGAATAAGTTGGGTTATTTATAACGATACCTATTCCTGTATGATATACAGAATTCCTGTCCATGTCGCCACAGCTTGTATCTTTATTTCCAGTGCAGGGCTTGTTACAGTCGTCGGGCGTTTCGAGATATGCTCCATAGGTGTGTCCACAGTAACATCGGTTGCCGTTCTGAAGTCCAGCGTAGGCGTACTGCTTCCTATAGCACCTATGTAGCAGTATGAGGGTGCATTAGTTTACCAGTTACATGTACAGGCATTAATATACATACTGACTCATGTGTTTAACCACAATACCGAAAAACCATTATATAATAATGGATGAATGTAAAATTATTAAATTACTGGGTTTTTTAATTTCGTACGCTCATTGCACGCATGTGTTCATGGACAGTCAACATTTATAGTTTAATATTTGCTTTTTATGCAACGCAGAAATCATTCATGTTTGCTAAATGTTAAAATCTGATATTGCTTGATCCAAAGTGCAGTGACTGTGATGTGCTGCAGGTTGATATATCTAGATTCTTAGAAACAGAGTTAATATATCCTGTATGGGGTTGAAATGGATTCCACGTCAGTATATTTACCTTTCAGAACAATGCTCTATCGTCATTGATGAGAAGAGATCTATCCTTTCATATGGCAGATCGTGATGATCAGAGACATCTTTGTAACAACCCTTGAGGACTGGCTCTGTGAAATAATAAACAATCACAGACATCTTTGTAACAACCCTTGAGGACTGGCTCTGTCAAACAATAAACAATCAGAGACATCTTTGTAACAACCCTTGAGGACTGGCTCTGTGAAACAATAAACAATCACAGACATCTTTGTAACAACCCTTGAGGACTGGCTCTGTGAAACAATAAACAATCACAGACATCTTTGTAACAACCCTTGAGGACTGGCTCTGTGAAACAATAAACAATCACAGACATCTTTGTAACAACCCTTGAGGACTGGCTCTGTGAAACAATAAACAATCACAGACATCTTTGTAACAACCCTTGAGGACTGGCTCTGTCAAACAATAAACAATCAGAGACATCTTTGTAACAACCCTTGAGGACTGGCTCTGTGAAACAATAAACAATCACAGACATCTTTGTAACAACCCTTGAGGACTGGCTCTGTCAAACAATAAACAATCACAGACATCTTTGTAACAACCCTTGAGGACTGGCTCTGTGAAACAATAAACAATCAGAGACATCTTTGTAACAACCCTTGAGGACTGGCTCTGTCAAACAATAAACAATCAGAGACATCTTTGTAACAACCCTTGAGGACTGGCTCTGTGAAACAATAAACAATCACAGACATCTTTGTAACAACCCTTGAGGACTGGCTCTGTGAAAACAATAAACAATCACAGACATCTTTGAACCCTTGAGGACTCTGTGTAAACAATCAGAGACACCAACCCTTGAGGACTGGCTCTGTGAAACAATAAACAATCACAGACATCTTTGTAACAACCCTTGAGGACTGGCTCTCTGTGTAGACATCTTTGTAACAACCTTTGAGGACTGGCTCTGTGAAACAATAAACAATCACAGACATCCTTGTAACAACCCTTGAGGACTGGCTCTGTGAAACAATAAACAATCAGAGACATCTTTGTAACAACCCTTGGGGACTGACTCTGTGAAACAATAAACAATCAGAGACATCTTTGTAACAACTCTTGAGGACTGGCTCTGTCAAACAATAAACAATCAGAGACATCTTTGTAACAACCCTTGAGGACTGGCTCTGTCAAACAATAAACAATCAGAGACATCTTTGTAACAACCCTTGGGGACTGGCTCTGTCAAACAATAAACAATCAGAGACATCTTTGTAACAACCCTTGAGGACTGGCTCTGTCAAACAATAAACAATCAGAGACATCTTTGTAACAACCCTTGAGGACTGGCTCTGTGAAACAATAAACAATCAGAACATCTCACAGAACCCTTGAGGACTGGCTCTGTGAAACAATAAACAATCACAGACATCCTTGTAACAACCCTTGAGGACTGGCTCTGTGAAACAATAAACAATCAGAGACATCCTTGTAACAACCCTTGAGGACTGGCTCTGTGAAACAATAAACAATCTCTGTGAAATAATAAACAATCACAGACATCTTTGTAACAACCCTTCTCTGTGTAAACAATCACAGACATCTTTGTAACAACCCTTGAGGACTGGCTCTGTGAAACAATAAACAATCACAGACATCTTTGTAACAACCCTTGAGGACTGGCTCTGTGAAACAATAAACAATCACAGACATCTTTGTAACAACTCTTGAGGACTGGCTCTGTGAAACAATAAACAATCAGAGACATCTTTGTAACAATCCTTGAGGACTGGCTCTGTCAAACAATAAACGATCAGAGACATCTTTGTAACAACTCTTGAGGACTGGCTCTGTGAAACAATAAACAATCACAGACATCTTTGTAACAACCCTTGAGGACTGGCTCTGTCAAACAATGAACAATCAGAGACATCTTTGTAACAACCCTTGAGGGCAGGCTCTGTGAAACAATAAACAATCAGAGACATCTTTGTAACAACCCTTGAGGACTGCCACCATAAATCGGCTTCACACATTGTTCCCATATGGAATAGAACTCAGGTCTTCGGCGTAACACATTATACACACGTGGCGAAGCGAACCCGGATTTTCAGCGTGACGAGCTAACGCTTGAGCCATTAGGCTACCCCACCGCCCTCGTTCGCCTGTTAACACGCCAGAGACCGTGAGACGGAAGTTCAACATACTTGGATATTTTGGCGCCGCTGGACACGACGGTTGAAAAGGCCCGGTCGGGTAGTTGTTCGGCGCAATTGGAGCTCCTAAACCCTGCAAAATATGGGATGACAGTTTTCATTTGAAATTTTTAAGCGTATACCTTTACTGAACTGAGTCGGATTAACCCGTAGGAATGTCACCATTAGATTGAATAGTTGGTGACAATGCACTACAGGTCATCGAGTCTACATATCCTGACGTCATAGTGGTTAATGTGACGTCACATGCTCTTCGCGTCATAATGTAAAACATGTTTGTGTTCTTAGTTACTGTACTGAAATCGCTACATGGTTGCAATATTGCCGATGCGATTCAAAATCTTAACTCATTAACTCACTCTTAATTACTATACTGGAAGGCCACTGGCGATCTGGAAGTTAATCTAGCGTGTCTTTGTAACTGAGGATTTAGTAAAGTGTCACTGTGGCAAGTGTCAGCTGCAGGTGCATTGACTGTACAGAACGTCTGTGAATCTCACTAAAACAAACTATTCATCTCACAATCATTTTCTCCATTTATCACGAAAACATCGATCTTTGCAACATTAATATGATTTTACTGTCTTCACCCCCAAGCGACATGAAATGGTGTGCTGGTGGATCAGTGTTTACATGTATCTTACCTTGGGTGTTCCAATCTTACAAGTAGCTGGCTTTGGTATGGGCGCTGATTTCTGAGAAAAATATATACATGTTTTTAATCAATCGTTGTTTAGCTGATTATATTTCGTGTACGTCCGATAAGTTACGGTCCATCTTGATAAATATTTACGCTACAGCCGATACCGTTGCCGGTAAGAGGACACAACGCAAGATGTCGTTCGTCTTATCATGAGATGGCAATAGTGTGTGAGTGAGTTTAGGTTTACGCCGTTTTGAGCAATATTCCAGCAATATCACGGCGGGCGAAACCAAAATTGGCTTCATACAATGTACCCATGTGGGGAATCGAACTCGGAAACAGAAAACGGCTCTCATTGGTCAATTGCCACGTGTGCGATTATTGCGGGAAATATGAAAATTGTGTTTTCCCGGCAAGGTAGAAATTGACAAATGAGAGCCATTTTCTGTTTCCGGGTCATTCAGAGATTTACGGAAACTGTCGATGTTTACCGAAGAGAGACCAGACGTTTCTTCAAAGAAAATGGTAGTGCTGATGCGAGGGTCAGTAGTCAAATGTGAAATGCAGTTAGACAAATCGAATACGATGAACAGAAAGGTAAAGAATGACCTACAAGCTCAACACAATTTATTTATGAAAAACATAAAGTTTGATTGAACCGCACATTAAAATAGTCCAACTGCTTGGTTTTCGATCAGGTTTTTAGCATTAGTGTGTAGTGTAGCGGTAGAATTTCTACAATCCTTATTCCTTCACCGATTTCGTTCAAATTTGAAATATATATTAATCATAACACATAAAAACAATATTATGATTGCAAAAATCTCCATGTTTATTTTTTTCAATTATTGTCCAAACAGAGATTCGAACCCCTGTGCTTACATCCTCCTTCCTGGTGTATGGTCCATCCACGTAGGCATCCTTGTAACAGTCAACGGTCTTGTCGCTCCCACCCACGCGTTTGATCGTAATGTATGGGCACTGCCTACCGGGGCAGATCTCGTGATCAATACGGTCTGCCGTCCCGACTAACTTCACGAACAGCAGACTGGTGGAAGAGTTAAGAAAATGAACATGGGTTAACTGAAAACTCGAATACAGAATGTAATACAAATGGACTCGAGTTTTAGACAAACAATATAATGTAAAACTCGTGCCGGATGAGCTCGAAACACATGTTGATCAAATGATTGTATAGTTACAAGATAAATCATTTAATGTGGCAATTAATCGATGGCAGAAACGAAAAATTATCGATGCATCGGTAGTATCTATGACTATCGATAGTTTAGTAATTGACTTCCGTTGATAAATGAGCACCGCAAAATACAGGAAGTACCAGATTCGTTCACTTTGATTTAGAGTTATCCGCCCCTGTTAACTCTTAAACGACATGCGAGTTTGAAATTGTGAATAACAAATACTTTATGTTGTAACTTTTTTACTTGATCTTGTCAGTTAATAAAAGAGACTGAAACTACTTCAGCTTGTTTTTATTTCATATAAACTATATTCCATTTGGGAAGTGACTTCAAATGAGACAATTCAAGGAGAACATAACTACTGCAATAGTTGTCCCCTTCAATAGTCACGCCTAGTTCCTACCCTCTAGCCTTGTCCCAGAAGTAAGCTGTACCAGAAGAATCCTTGTCAAGCTCGTCAATGGATGCCAGTTGGGTGGCAGGTGAATCTTCGTCGATCACAGGAAACTGACTTTCGAAGGTAAAACTTTCAACATCTTTGGGGAAACACAAACCGATTCGGAAGGAATCGCCCCTAGAAATAAAGACAAAATGCCACGATTAAGGTGATTGTTCATATTGATCGAGCAAATAAGTGTTGGAATTATCCTGATTATCTGTAGTGTAAGGCATACTGTCTACAATATATATATATAATGTTTATGTACCTGATCTAACACATATATCATGCACACCCCGTCTATTGACGTAATTAACGTAAATGTAACTGAATGGCAAAACAAACAACATGGTCTTTCCTGTCTGAAATGGAATCTCTGCTTCCCATTGTCCGGTTTGGGTACCCCAGTCAAGCAATGATGACACCAGTTGTTCAACACAAATGCAGCATGTTCATAAGCCATCTAGAAACAGACCCGCGAAGGTCCGAGTTAAAATACTGGCCTTCAGTAACCCATGCTTGTCGTAAGAGGCGACGAACGGGATCGGGTGGTCAGGCTCGCTGACTTGGCTGACACATGTCCTTGGTTCCCAATTGCGAAGATCGATTGTCATGATGTTGATCACTGGATTGTCTGGTCCAGACTCGATTATTTACAGACCGCCGCCATATCGCTGGAATATTGCTGAGTGCGGCGTAAAACTAAGCTCACTCACTATGTAGAAAGATGTCAGTTCCAATCCACCCGTTCTTCATTATAAGGGAACGTATACATACATGAGGCACCATCCAACATAAATCGAATATATAGTAGTTACTATGTTTTTATATTCACTCATTTAAGCCATGTATGTGTTTGTACTGAAGTAAAATATAACTTAAAACTTACTTTTTTAGATTCTCGCCAATGACCTCGAGTTCAGTTGGAGCTTTCCCGTTGAAGTAAGCGGTGTAGGACATGCTCTTTAAGACTAGGTAGCTGATTTTCCTTAGACCTGAAACATTGTGCCCGAGATACAAAACCAGAGGAGGCATTTATGTCAACAGTATATCAAACAATTGCGGTGAAAATTAAGACCAGATCCGGGGGCGGTGGGTTAGCCTAATGGTTAAAGCGTTGGCTCATCACGCCGAAGACCGGGTTCGATTCCCCATATGGGTACAATGACAGACCGCCGCCATATCGCTGGAATATTGCTGAGTGCGGCGTAAAACTAAGCTCACTCACTATGTAGAAAGATGTCAGTTCCAATCCACCCGTTCTTCATTATAAGGGAACGTATACATACATGAGGCACCATCCAACATAAATCGAATATATAGTAGTTACTATGTTTTTATATTCACTCATTTAAGCCATGTATGTGTTTGTACTGAAGTAAAATATAACTTAAAACTTACTTTTTTAGATTCTCGCCAATGACCTCGAGTTCAGTTGGAGCTTTCCCGTTGAAGTAAGCGGTGTAGGACATGCTCTTTAAGACTAGGTAGCTGATTTTCCTTAGACCTGAAACATTGTGCCCGAGATACAAAACCAGAGGAGGCATTTATGTCAACAGTATATCAAACAATTGCGGTGAAAATTAAGACCAGATCCGGGGGCGGTGGGTTAGCCTAATGGTTAAAGCGTTGGCTCATCACGCCGAAGACCGGGTTCGATTCCCCATATGGGTACAATGTGTGAAGCTCATTTCTGGTGTCCCCTGCCGTGATATTGCTGGAATAGTGCTAAAAGCGGCGTAAAACCAAACTCACTCACTCACTCACTAAGACCAGATCCATCACACCATTAATGTTACAGTGAGTGAGTGAGTTTTGACACCCCATCGCTAATTGGTGTCATTCATATAATTTTCACATATATGTTTCCCTTTACACGAAATGGGGTGTGTTTCTGGGGCATTCACATACATTGTACATGCGTCTCCATAAAAGTCATCTTCACCCCAACCACCCCTAAATTATGAACGGTCCCTAACGGGATCAGGTGGTCAGGCTCGCTGACTTAGTTGACATATGTCATCGGTTCCCAATTGCGCATATCGATGCTCATGCTGTTGATCACTGGATTGTCTGGTCCAGACTCGATTATTTACAGACCGCCGCCATATAGATGGAATATTAATGGAGTGCGGCGTAAAACTAAACTCACTCAGTCACTCCTGCTATGGAATATTTGTACAATATTTTACCACGTATCTGAAACGCATCAGCTGGTCGGTCGTCCCTCCTTATCGTCATGGCGTAGTCCTTCGGGCGTGTTTCCAGGACCCCTCCTTTCCCGTCCAGTATAACCTGGAAAGGAACGCAGTTTAATACTGTTCAAAACGTTCACGTAATCGTCATTAGTAGATATGACGATAAATAGTGGAGTATGATGTTCCATGTTTAGATCCGTACGATGATGAAGTCCTGCTGTAGCTAGACCCAGACTGAGTAAATGTAATATTAGCATGCTTATTTTAGTCAACTAAACGTTGATAAATAATTAGGTCAGTGGAGCATTCTCAGAGTAAAATGTCATGAGATCAAATGATAAAATACAGCGTTCTCAGCGTGTGCTAAAAATGACCGTCATCTTCAAACCGAGATGATAAATATAGCAGATATCGTCCCAGGCTCAAGCCTTCCATGAAATTGGCTCATTAACCACGTATTCTTCATTGTATCTAAGCTTAGAAGGTCCTCCTGTGAAAGATGTACCACTCGTCACGCTGATGAAATTTCATGAAATCTAAAATGTAACATCTGCTTGGAGACTATGTATAAATAATTTGAAGCATATGGTAGTTTGTCCACCGCTTGTGGAAACGTGAGTGATACATTCCTTGTAGATAATTTCTCATGAAAGTCTCGACGTTATGATTGGTGCCTATTTGGAAGTTTGCATATTGTTTGTGAGTGAGTTTAGTTTCAAGCCGTTTTAGCAATGTTCCAGCAATATCACGGCAGGGGACACCAGAAATAGGCTTCACACATTGTACCTATGTTGGTAATCGAACCCGGGCCTTCGCCGCGACGAGCGAACGCTTTAACCACAAGGCTACCCCACCGCCCCCGCATATTGTTGAGTCACAGTACCTGATGACCGTGCATCGTAAACTGTTCATCACTAATGTGTGTGGGCAGAACGTCCCTCGGTAACTGGAACACCAGAACCACGCTCTTCTCGGCAATATTCCAGTCATACCATGGAGAGCACGAGAACCACGCCCTTCTTGGCAATATTCCAGTCATACCATTGTTTTGATTCTTTTAGCGGAGTGAGGCAGGGTTGCATTTTAAGTCCGTTGCTGTTTTCTTTATTTATAAATCAGCTTCATGGTAAAATGGAGAAATCGGATAGGGGTATCTTTATTTGCGCAGAGTTTTTGGAATTATATCTTTTGCTGTATGCAGATGACCTGTGTTTATTTTCAGATAGTGTTATTGGTTTGCAAAGGAAAATCAATTTATTGGTAAAATTTTGTCATAGATGGGGGACTGACTGTTAATTTTGACAAAGACAGAAGTCTTAGTTTTTCGAAATGGTGGTAAACTTAGGAAAAGTGAGGTTTGGTGTTTTCAGGGTCAAAGGTTGAAGATTTCATCTTATTACAACTATTTAGGACTGTTGTTTTCCAGTAAGCTCTCGTGGTCCAAGTCTGTTCAAAATCTTGTCAATAAGGCCACTAATGCTTTATCCTCAGTTAAAGTTCTTGCTTACAAACTCAGAAATATCTCCCCAATAGTTCTCTTTAAAGTTTTGATGTTCAGATAAAGCCAATTATATTATATGCATCAGAAATATGGGGTTATCAAAAGTGGTCTATAGTTGAACAATTTCATGTAAGGTTTTGCAAGTTTGTATTGGGTTTGAGTTATAAAAGTACTAATGTTGCTGTTTTAGCAGAATGTGGTGGACATTATATTTATATTGATTCGTTGTTGAGAGTAATTAAATATTGGTTTAGATTGCTTGAAATGCCCGTGGATAGGTACTGTAAACAGAACTATCTTGTGTTGTATAATTTAGATAACGTTGGGCGTAAAACGTGAGTGTATCATGTTAGAACTATTTTATTCACTTATGGCTTCGGTTTTGTTTGGGAGAATCAAGGTGTTGGATTCAAGGAGGCATTTCTATTCAATTTTGAAACAAGGATAAGGAATTGCCACGTTCAATCAATAATGGCTGATATTAATGAATATTCAACATTACATTTATATTCTAAAATTAAAACTTCTTTTTTTTGGGGGGGGGAATTATCTCGTAAATGTAAAGTCAAAAGAAGCAAGACGTAGGACAACGTTACTCAGAATTGGTGAGCTTTCCTTTTATAAAACAATTGGTAGACGAGATGGAATTCCACGTCAATATCGCTATTGTAAGGTATGTAAATTAAATTATGTAGAGGTTGAATTTCATTTTCTTTATAAATGTCCAACATATAACGAATTACGTGTTAAATACTTTGAAAATATACCTATGTACATCAATGAAGATGTCATGATCTATAATCTTAAAAATGATAATCAAACACATTTACTGTCCATCTCAAATTATGTTAAAGAGGCCTTAATTTTGCGTCATTCATTTGTTTCACAGCAACTCATAAATGTATTTCATATGTCAACATTGTACGTGGGCCGAAGGCCTTTCTACCGAATAAAAGATTGATACCATAGAGGATACCAGAACCACGCCCTTCTCAGCAATATTCCAGTCATACCATGGAGAACACGAGAACCAGACCCTTCTCGGCAATATTCCAGTTATACCATGGAGAACACGAGAACCACGCCCTTCTCGGCAGTATTCCAGTTATACCATGGAGAACACGAGAACCACGACCTTCTCGGCAATATTCCAGTTATACCCTGGAGGACACCAGAACCACGCCCTTCTCGGCAATATTCCAGTTATACCATGGAGAACACGAGAACCACGACCTTCTCGGCAATATTGCAGTTATACCATGGAGAACACGAGAACCACGACCTTCTCGGCAATATTCCAGTTATACCATGGAGAACACGAGAACCACGACCTTCTCGGCAATATTCCAGTTATACCATGGAGAACACGAGAACCACGCCCTTCTCGGCAATATTCTAGTTATACCATCGAGGACACGAGAACCAGGCCCTTCTCGGCAATATTCCAGTTATACCATGGAGAACACGAGAACCACGACCTTCTCGGCAATATTCCAGTTATACCATGGATGACACGAGAACCACGACCTTCTCGGCAATATTCCAGTTATACCATGGAGAACACGAGAACCACGCCCTTCTCGGCAATATTGCAGTTATACCATGGAGAACACGAGAACCACGACCTTCTCGGCAATATTGCAGTTATACCATGGAGAACACGAGAACCACGCCCTTCTCGGCAATATTGCAGTTATACCATCGAGAACACGAGAACCACGCCCTTCTCGGCAATATTCCAGTTATACCATCGAGGACACCAGAACCACGCCCTTCTCGGCAATATTCCAGTTATACCATGGGGAAATTGGCTTCACTCATAGCACCCGTATGAGAGACCGAACCCGTACATTCGCCGTGACTAGATGACGCTAACACTGTGATATAAAACTCACGTACCCTGGCATATTCATATGGGCAGACTGCCATGTTCCATGTCTCCTCGTACCGGCATCTCCCTGTGGTAAAGAACCGTTCATTCTTGACCACCTGTGTCCCAGCTGTTCCGGTCACGCTGCCATCGTAGTCATGGAAATTGGCTTGTTTGTTGCCGTCTTGGTCGGCGAACCCAGGTACGGACAGGTTGCCATTGAAAACCCAGTTTCCACCAACCTCGAAACAACACAAATATATATATATATATATACACACAGCTACAGTTGTAATTTGATCATTATTGATCGTAATCAATATAGTGTTAGTCACCCTAGTAAACATTGACTCCATGTGGACATTAAAGAATAAACCAACACGTGTTTACTGGAAGAGTAAAAGTTTAGCCGATATTGAAGAACATTATGCGCGAATCTCTCCTCTGAGATATGATAGGTTGTAATAGTTCTACAAGTACGTTCAGACGCATCTACCATCGTCAAGACATGGAATTTTATAGATACAAATATATTAAAAATCAGACTAAAGACCGAAGGCAGGATATGCTTTACTGCATGCATATTCTTGAGTTTGAGTTTTTAAAACATGCTAAACATGCAGAGAGATATAGCTAGGAAGAAACTCATTGGTTTTGTCAACAGCGGGTCTACAATCTGTAGAGTGCTGGCATCTCCACACAGTGGATGGGTTACAATTTTACACCATGTCCATGAGATAGTTCCCTGCTTCACCATGTTATGAACAGAAACATGTAGCCTGACTTTACGTATAGTGAAACTTTGGTCGTGTTGTAGAGTATCGGTTTGTAGGTTTCTAGATTATACACACGAATGGGGGCATATTTGATGTAAAAGCAAACACATTCAGTAACCTGACAATGTGATTTTTTTTCTATTTGATAATGAAAATAACAACAATGAGTAAAAAGACGCTAGCTCGCTGTCGGGTGAGTATGAAATCACCTTGTCACAAAACCCAAAGGTGATGCCGGACACCCCACTAGTAGGGGATGCGTGGTAGGTACTGTTCCGTCTCAGGCTGATTGCCCCCGCAGCTCTGAACAGCGTGTCCGTGTACTTGAATGTGTAGTTGTTAAAGAAGCAATTGGTGACAATGCCGGGGCCTTGGTAGAAAATCACCCCCTGAAGAACATCGTCCCTGTAGAGAAAGGACCATGGAAGAAACATACACCGATTGCACTATAGCTTTCAACTACTGCACGGGTCAGCATTGTCTACCTTCCTCCATTCCCATTGAATACATATGTATGTGTACTGCTTGCACAGTCGCTTGTTTAACCAGTCAACTAAATGCCTGATTTCAGTGAGGGAAATATACGAGTGCTTCGACCAAAGAGCGCTTAGATCGCATCGCGCAAACTTCCAACATTTCTGGTGATACTTGCCCTGAAGTCTAGCTACAAGCTTCTTGCCACACAGTATATCGGGGTACATGAGACTTGTGTGTTCTTGGGGGATGCAGGGTCTATAAAACACGCCATGCATACAGACTGACCTCATTTACATGCTTATGAAACTTCATTTTGAAATATTCTTCCGTTACAATGCTTTTCTGAATAATGAATTCGATTCCTGTACATAGAACAGAAATATCTGTCATAAGTATCTATGTTTGTACCTGTAGAAATACGGTTATTGTAACTGTCATAGGTCGACACGTTTGTTTACGTAGCTGTGTTCCTGGAATTGACAAAATGTTCCTTTTGAACACCGAGTATACCTGACATTTGTTTTACATTGTGACAATAAGAGCGGCTTTCTGACAATACTAGAGTCAATCTGACAATACTCAAGGCATCCTGACAATACTACCGGCACCTTGACGAAACGAAAGACATCCTGACAATACTCAAGGAATCCAGACAATACTAAATGCTTCATGACAATATTCAAGGCAAGCTGACAATACTAAATGCATCCTGACAATACCAGAGGCAGCCTCACAATACTGAAAGCAACCTAGCAATGCCAGAGGCAATCTAACAACTCTAAAGGCAACCTGACAATGCTTAAGGCGACCTGACAATACTAAAAGGCAAACTGGCAAAACTAAAGGCCTCCTGACAATACCAGAGGCAAACTGGCAATACCAAAGGCAGCCTGACAATACGAAAGGCATCCTGACAATACTAAAGGCATCCTGGCAATACTGAAGGCATCCTGGCAGCACTAAAGGCAGCCCGACAATACTAGAGGCGACCTGATAATACTGAAATGCAACCTGGCAATACTAGAGGCATCCTGACAATACTAAAGGCATCCTGGCAATACTAGAGGCATCCTGATAATACTAAAGGCATCCTGGCAATACTAGAGGCATCCTGGCAATACTAGAGGCATCCTGACAATACTAAAGGCAACCTGGTAATACTTAAGGCATCCTGACAATACCAGAGGCAGCCTCACAATACTGAAAGCAACCTAGCAATGCCAGAGGCAATCTAACAACTCTAAAGGCAACCTGACAATGCTTAAGGCGACCTGACAATACTAAAAGGCAAACTGGCAAAACTAAAGGCCTCCTGACAATACCAGAGGCAAACTGGCAATACCAAAGGCAGCCTGACAATACGAAAGGCATCCTGACAATACTAAAGGCATCCTGGCAATACTGAAGGCATCCTGGCAGCACTAAAGGCAGCCCGACAATACTAGAGGCGACCTGATAATACTGAAATGCAACCTGGCAATACTAGAGGCATCCTGACAATACTAAAGGCATCCTGGCAATACTAGAGGCATCCTGATAATACTAAAGGCATCCTGGCAATACTAGAGGCATCCTGGCAATACTAGAGGCATCCTGACAATACTAAAGGCAACCTGGTAATACTTAAGGCATCCTGACAATACTAGAGGCATCCTGACAATACTAAAGGCATCCTGGCAATACTAGAGGCATCCTGGCAATACTAAAGGCATCCTGGCAATACTAGAGGCATCCTGGCAATACTTAAGGCATCCTGGCAATGCTAGAGGCATCCTGGCAATACTTAAGGCATCCTGACAATACTGAAGGCATCCTGACCATACTAAAGGCATCCTGACAATACTGGAGCATCCTGACAATACTAGAGGCATCCTGGCAGTAGTAAAGGCATCCTGGCAATACTTTAGGAATTCTGACAATAACACTGCTTCCTTTCAGTTCAAATTTTCAGGGCTTAGATTTCCGAAGCTCTCTTAGCGCTAAGATAGTCGTAAGTGAATGTTAATGTATGCCACTTACGACTATCTTAGCGCTAAGAGAGCTTCGGAAATCTAGGCCCAGGGGTGTAAAGTGTATAATGATCTTAGCGATGACCCCACGCCCTCCTAACGTAATATGAAAGTCAAAATCATGAACACGTGACATCACAAGTCAAGTCTGGATGTTGATCAGCTGGAACCCGTGTGTCCGGAACATATCTGCTGATGTCTGTATTCCACAACCTTTCGGGTACAATCAAAAATGCATTTTCTATCCAATTTCAATGATCGACGTTGTTTCATCAGGGTTACAACAAAAGCAAATGTTCAAATTGTTTACACTAGATGAGTTTTCTCTCCATATTTTACCTTTGACTGGACAGTATGTTGCTATATTTGTTCAAGGGGAAGCCAGCAGTGTGACAGGGTATGCTCGTCTTTTCGAGCCAGGTACCATTATTAGTCCGTAGTAATCCATCGTAATGGATGCTTGTGATATACATGTAGTCCGAAATAGAGAAAGGATTTACGATTTACGATTGCTGAAGGCTATATTTGGGTTACTGTCACATCCTAATCTTGTGATTCTTCAAAGATCGTCGACGCGCTTTATAAAACACGTTTATAATGCGTTACAAACACGTGCATGTTTAAAACATATGAGGTATAACTCACGGCATTCCAGTCCGGGAACGATTAAATGGTGACTGTCTGCGACCAACGTTGTTCGTTTCACCAACGAAGATTGAATTCTTGATTTCAGTGTATGTGTGTTCAATACCTCTGGCCATGGAAAGTCCACGATTCGAGTCTGCTATCCTGAAAAATCAACTTAATGTCCGCTACAATGCTCATACGCCAGAGTTAGGGGCAGCGGAATAGCCAAATGGGCGTTCGTTCGTCACGCCGAAGACCCGGGTTCGATTCCCCACAAGGATACAATGTGTGGAGCCCATTTCTGGTGTCCCCACCGTGATATTGTAGGAACAATGCTGAAAGCGGCGTAAAAACTAAACTCACTCACTCATTCATTCATTCACTCCAGCGTTCCTTCGTAAGTTGGGAGTATTGGTCCGATTCCATCCTCTTTACATTCCTTTTCCTCCATCACCGGTAATGCTGCTAGACAGTGATGTCTCGCATTGATCTCACTCTACGTCGTTGAGTGAAATAGGGCCTAAATACCTGACTCAAAATCGTCACGCGTCATCCCCACACGGAACATAATAAGATACATAATACTGTTTTCAATGTGGTGAAATTATTGTACATGTACTGGAAGTGTTGGTCATGGCAAGTCATGAAATAGTTTTAATGTTTCGATGCTGAGGGGACTTACGTGAAGCGATTCAGCACCAGATTTCCGCCTTTAGTCCATACATTCTGAATTTTGTTTTTATAAGCACGAAACCTGGTGGAAACAAAAATGACATACATGTACACGTTTCCACTGTCCTCCCTTACAGTGTCATTATGTGACGGATAGTAGTGACACACAGTAGTGACGGATAGCAGTGACGAATAGTAATAGCACTGACTGATTGAGTGACGGATAGTGACGGATAGCAGTGACGGATAGCAGTAACGGATAGCAGTAACGGATAGTAATAGCACTGACTGATTGTAGTGACGGATAGTAATGACTTGTAGCTGTGATGGATAGTAGTGACGGATAACAGTGACTGGTAGCAGTGATGGATAGTATTGGCGGATAGTAATGGTGGCTAGTAGTGACGGATAGCAGTCATAGATAGTAATGATGGATAGTAGTGACTGATAGCAGTGACAGATAGTAATGGTGGATAGTAGTGACTGATAGCAGTGACAGATAGTAATGATGGATAGTAGTGGATAGACGGATAGCAGTCACAGATAGTTGGCATTCATGCAAGCCAGTGTACGGTTATTTGGTTGTTTTAATTTACAAAAAGGTGTATATATTGAAGGCCATTGAAAGTAGTATTTACTAAACATCTTCGCATACACCAGGTACTCTATGTTGTATTTTGCAATTAACATTTTATTCTCTCGAACTTATAAACAGTGAAGCACATTCTCAGTCTTGGATTCGTACCATGTGCGGAGCAAGTAACAGTCTAAAATATTCGTTCTTCACAATGTTGCATAAAAAAATATCCTTAGTGACAAGATTTCATAAAAAAATTATCGTTGGTGACAATGTTTCATAAAAAGATCGTTACTGATCGACAAAGTTTTAAAAAGGGATAGGTAATACAATATCTGTCCTGGTTTGTTTTGGAATAGCACTTAGCTGTACAGGTGTGACATGACCAATAACAACATACCTGGTCATGCGCGAAGTAACGAGTTTCCCATCAGCTTGTGGAGGGTCTCTTGGCACGTGGGTGGTCTCGTCTTGCATCACTCCGTTCGGGGGAACATACACTTTACCAACATATATCCCTTCGGACAGTCGATCATCGAGACGCAGTCCTCGCTATAAGACGGGAGAGAAAGGCCGATGGTTAAACGATACAGATATCATCAAGACATGGTCCTCGCTATAAGACTGGAGATAAAAGCCCATGGTTAAACGATACAGATATACTCATGCCAATAATGGTTGTCACCCCCTTCAATTTGTTTATTGGAGAGGTGGTATGGGGTGGGTGTGGGGGTTGGGGTGGGGAGGGGTGACAACCATTATTGGCATGAGTATATCATCAAGACAGGGTCCTCGCAATAAGACGGGAGATAAAATCCCATGGTTTAACGATACAGATAGCATAAAGACATGGTCCTCGCTATAAGACGGGAGAGAAAAGCCCATGGTTTAACGATACAGATATCATCAAGACATGGTCATCGCTATAAGACGGGAGAGAAAAGCCCATGGTTAAACGATACAGATATCATCAAGACATGGTCCTCGCTATAAGACTGGAGATAAAAGCCCATGGTTAAACGATACAGATATACTCATGCCAATAATGGTTGTCACCCCTTCAATTTGTTTATTGGAGAGGTGGTATGGGGTGGGTGTGGGGGTGGGGGGGGGGGGGTGACAACCATTATTGGCATGAGTATATCATCAAGACAGGGTCCTCGCAATAAGACGGGAGATAAAATCCCATGGTTTAACGATACAGATAGCATAAAGACATGGTCCTCGCTATAAGACGGGAGAGAAAAGCCCATGGTTTAACGATACAGATATCATCAAGACATGGTCATCGCTATAAGACGGGAGAGAAAAGCCCATGGTTAAACGATACAGATATATCATCAAGACATGGTCCTCGCTATAAGACGGGAGAGAAAGGCCCATGGTTTAACGATACAGATATCATCAAGACGCAGTCCTCGCTATAAGACGGGAGAGAAAAGCCCATGGTTAAACGATACAGATATCATCAAGACATGGTCCTCGTTATAAGACGGGAGTAAAAAGCCTAAGCTTCAACGATATAGATATTATCAAGCACATGATTCATAAAAAATGAACTATTTGGTAACACAGCTCGGATAATGTTTTAACTGTCTCTGTTATGGATGCAACGAAATTGGCAACATAACTTGTAAGTGGCATTTCGAAACAATCATTTAGGCAGGATGCGTGGATTTCACTTCTTCATTAGTTAGTAACCTTTCCAAGTTACCTTGATAAGTCAAGAATACTTCCAGTCATATTTCAACCAACTGCTCCGAGGTTTTATACAGGTTTACAACATACCCCGTTACAAGAATGGACCACGTTGTTATCAAACTCCAGGATCTTGGAATGGTAGGCATGTTTGAAGCCAACTAGCTTCCTCTCCTCCTGTCTCGCCCTAGAGGGACCAATGGGCAGGAAGGAGTTGATGTACCAGAAGCCAACCTTCTGAAAAACAAAGACGGATCAGAGTGATCCAACTTGCCAATAGTCTTAAAAGGCTTATCTGTCCCGAGTGAATAAATGCCGCAATAGTCCAACACGACTGACAGATAATCCATAATCCCTGGTTAACAGGATGTTATTCTTTAAATTACAGTTTTTCTATAAACTATGGGAAATGTGGGTTCCCATTTCTCAAGTTCAAACATTAGATCTGTCCGTTGTATGAATCGTGTATGAACATTGAATGACGCCATCTTGAATAACGTGAATAATGTGAATAATGTTTATATGACGCCACATCTTCGTGTTCAGGAATAGAACATTAGCGAGTGAAAAAAACCTGAAGACTGTGAACAGTGAGAAGGAATGTACGGTGTTACCGTTATACCGCAATACGTATTGTTTGAAAATCGTATTGCAATATATTTTTCTGAGAGCCTGTATATATGTTCCCCATTGTAATTGACAAACGGCATACCTGATATGCTATGAATTGTATTAAAAACAAACAATCCCTAACAACCCAACTCGTACTTTAGGTGGATGTTATCTGAAGCCTGTCATTTGTTTATCAGGCCTTAGTGTGTAGAATATACTATTATCTGCATCTACAATCAGTGTCATTTACTGTCAAACACTTATCCCATTATCTCACCATATGGCAATGCAGTTTTTTTGCCAATACACAGACCTATCAGTGTATACTTCTACCCGTGTCGATCTGAGTAGTATCTATAACACATGATATGATGCAGGTTGGACACATGTTCTCTCCATCCTCCATTTGTCACTTACATCGGAGCCGGCAGCAACGTTGTTCCTCACGTAGTTGTTGGGGTGCGTCAGCCAGAAGGTGGACAAACCACTGGAAACATCCCAATAGTATACCAGCAATCACAGTGTAATATTGCACTAGACTGTACAACTATAAGGCACTAGACTTCACAATGGTAAGGCTGTAGACTTCACAATGGTAAGGCTGTAGACTTTACAACAATATGGCACTAGACTTCACAATGGTAAGGCAGTAGGCTTTACAACATTAAGGCACTAGTCTTCACAATGGTAAGGCTGTAGACTTTACCAAAATATGGCACTAGACTTAACCATGATAAGGCAGTCGACTTTACAACAATAAGGCACCAGGCTTCACAATGGTAAGGCAGTAGACTTTACAAAAATATGGCACCAGACTTAACCATGATAAGGCAGTCGACTTTACAACATTATGGCACTAAGCTTCACAATGGTAAGGCAGTGGACTTTACAACAATAAGGCACCAGGCTTCACAATGGTAAGGCAGTGGGCTTTACAACAATAAGGCACCAGGCTTCACAATGGTAAGGCAGTGGACTTTACAACAATAAGGCACCAGGCTTCACAATGGTAAGGCAGTGGACTTTACAACAATAAGGCACCAGGCTTCACAATGGTAAGGCAGTCGACTTTAAAACAATATGGCACTAAGCTTCACAATGGTAAGGCAGTCGACTTTAAAACAATAAGGCACTAGACTCCACAATAATCTTGCAGTAGACTCCGCAAATTATAAGGCTCTAGACTGCATGATAATCAGGCACTAGACTCCACAATCTAGAACCAAGGCATTCTAAACTCTAGACATCTACATGGGTGCTTTTTCAATCTTGTTAAAACGCCGCATTGCGCATGCTCCAGCTTTATGGTGGGTCTGCAAACAACCTAGCCTGGACCAGACAATCCAGTGATTGACATCATGAACATCGATCCACGCAACTGAGTGAGTGAGTGAATATGGTTTTACGCCGCTTTTAGCAATATTCCACCAACATCACGGCGGGGGACACCAGAAATGGGCTTCACACGTTGTACCCATGTGGGGAATCGAACTCGGGCCTTGGCGTGACGAGCGAACGCTTTAACCACGAGGCTACCCCACGCAACTGAGATTCGATGACAAGCAATCAACAGGGGACAAGCTGATCCATTTAGTTGTTTCTTCATACCTGGAATCCCCACTGGTTATTTAAAGAGATAACACAGTGTATGTGACCAGTGTCCACACTTGGGGGATAGTGATTGTTAAGCTTACATACACATCAGACGGTTTGCTTCCCAGTACTAACATCCCCTAGAAAGCTGTATTGGCCTGGCAGGTTAGCATAGGTGAACTTGACCCTGGTGTATTTCGACTAAAACGGTTGCAACTATATGCTGTACTTGTGTCAGTATAGGACACAGGATTCACTGTCTTCGCACACAGCAATTATAGTGCCAGGCTCTGCGAGTGTGGGTTCGAATCCCGGATGGGAGAAAGTACATATCTGTTACATTTCACCACTTCTGTAAAGTCATTGTGTGATTCTACACATCCCTCGCAAAAGTCTATAAATCAATTATTTTCAACGGAAATATTTTGAATTTGAACGTATTCAGAGGGAACGAAGTTCTATATAGATTTCTCTGAAGTATCTTTCATTATAGAGCCAATTTGATATGTCATATGTGTTGCGTAATGAACATGCATGAAACAACATACCAAAGCGTTTCTGATTACGTCACTTACTCGCAATATCCCTTCATCGTAGCATTGCACCACTCTTTGCGCATGTCTGCCAGTGTGTGAGCACCGTGCTGGGTTCCCAGACCGAGGTTACCGTCGAAGATGTTCCACTGCTCAGCGCTGTCCTCAAGGAAGTAGCTGTGACCATGTGTCAGGTAACACACGTTGTCGCTAACCTGTCAAACGATCAATGCTTCATTCAACGATCAATGCTTCATTCAACGATCAATGCTTCATTCAACGATCAAGGCTTCATTCAACGATCAAGGCTTCATTCAACGATCAAGGCTTCATTCAACGATCAACGATCAAGGCTTCATTCAACGATCAAGGCTTCATTCAACGATCAAGGCTACAACAAGACCAAGTGAATTTTCAAAAAGTTTGATAGAAGGACATTTTTTTTAATTTGACATATCGGTGAAAAAATATGTTTTCACTTATTCCATATATTCCCGTTGTTTTTGTTGTTTGTCTTTTTGTTCAGATGAAACATTGACTAGCCTTTGCATGTGTTTAGAACAGGTGCCACCGGGGAGCAGGATACGCTCACAATACCGCGAACATCTGGTATTATCACTATCTGATACTGATTCATAAACACATGACCATGATAAAGTCGTAATAGTAATATCGTGGCATCTAAATGGATCGTGAAGTCAGTCTCGCTTACTTGGTTGATGGATGTGATCGTATCCCAGTTTTTATGATGTCAATCTTGGGCTGTCTGACACAGATAAGGTAATTTTGCTCACGGCCGTCATATATCAAGAATAGCAATGAGAGCCGCGTCCAACAACAAACAAAAGCTAATCTACATTATCGGTCTGAATATATGCAGCTGTTCGAAAGGCTATTGGTATTGGATAGATGACACGTTAATGTTGATTAGAATTTTGATAATCCTTTTCAGTAGTATATGTTACTTAACACGCTATATTCAGAGCCTTTCAGTTGAATATATTGCAGACAAAACCTATTTTGTTATCACCGGATACTGAAGGTTCGGTTCCGATAGTCAGTGGCTCTGACAGTCTGAATGTTTGTTTATTACAGATTTCTTATCTTTATGGCAATGGTTTTATTGCTGATATTTTGGTCATGTTCAGATACAGCCCGAATATTGCTAAATACACAAATAATTTGTAAATTGTATGTGCAAATTCAAAAAGATCCTGCTTGGATTACTGACTGAGACAGCGTTCCGACTAAAGATTTTCCAACATCGGTATGCCTGACTGGAATATTTGCAGGTTCCCGCTAAAGAGCTTCTACATCTCTGCTGGATGCGTGTTACACATAAATTCATCCAATCAGGAGTTCTCCTAACTTATGTCGGAACATGTTACTCAACAATATTCAGAATGAGTGAGTATAGTTTTACGCCGCACTCAGCAATATTTCAGCTATATGGCGGCGGTCTGTAAATAATCGAGTCTGGACCAGACAATCCAGTGATCAACAGCATGAGCATCGATCTGCGCAACTGGGACCCGATAACATGTGTCAACCAACCCAGTGAGCCTGACCACCCGATCCCGTTAGTCGCCTCTTACGACAAACATGGGTTACTGAAGATCAATATTCTAACCCGGACCTTCACGGGTCGCCTTTCAAAGAATGAAGAAGTAGTATATCCATAAAATATCGTCATTCCTAAAGTTCTGTTTGTAAAAATCATTTTCTAAACAAACATACACTTAAGTTCTTGTAAGTCTTGAGACACAAAATATGAAAAGGTCAGTTCCAGAACCTTTATGTTTAAGGGCATTGATGACCAGAATAACTCCGTCAGCAGGGGAACCCAGCAATGGACAGGTGTTTATGAACAGCTCGGAAACTACCCACCTCCGCGTGGTCGGTTCCATGCACCGTCACACAGCGCGTCAGGGCATGATGGATAGAGTTGTTCCGGAACCAGTTGCCCTCCACGTCATCACACATGTGGAAGTGAAGCGCGTAGGATCCTGGATCAAGGAAAACAGGAGTTATCCCCCTTAGTCGATACACAGGTCAAGGCCAACACGACTAAGTAGTTAGTGATGCTATAGTCGAGTAGATTGTCATCTCAGTTTGTTTGGATACCGCAGATTTGGTTGATTTATCATAAAAAAGAGAGTGCGTTAGATCTTACATCACCCTTAGCAAATTGAATATCACAGCGGGGACATCAGACATGTCCTTCACACAGCGTTCACATGTTGGGAATCGAACCTGGCCTCCTGATTGACTAAAGCTTTAACCTGTAGGCTGTCCCATCTCTCCCTAATTATGAATGTCAATTGAATATATTATATATGTTCATACTTATACTGGAATGATATAGAGCTTGGGAGGTTCATGCACAATGGCCATGAGAAGGTCCTAACCTTAGTGGAAAATGACCAACATCTAGTTCCCCATGCTGGTGCTGTTGTTTTGTTGTTGTTGTTTTGTTTTTGTTGCTGGGTTTGTTTGTTTGTTTTTGTTCACGTGTTTTGGTTGTTTTGTGGGGTTTTATTGTTGTTGTTATTTCATTTGGTCTCTTTCATAGTTCGGCTTCTATCAGAATAACATTACACACTTCATTTAGCCAGTGTTCACGTACACTCCCGTTCACGTACAGCCCCGTGAACACACTGCATTTCCCTGGGTTTAATCACTTCATCTGAAGGCTAATCATATCTGTACACAAGTCAATAAATAATATGTAATACGAAAGTTTCGTGTTTGTATCTGAACCCCAAAACTAGATTAGCAAATTGCAGCGAATATTTGCAGAGTAGACTGGTCCGTTTCATCAAGCATGCATTACCTCTGTTGCCTCTGTCTCCTCCATTACTAACAAATGTGATACAACCAATCAGCAGCGAGAAGCTATGTCTAGTCTTGCTGTTAATCAGGTAGGCAATATGTCGTAGCTTACCAATGAATTTCTGTTGCCCCATATGATAAAGTTCAACTCCTTCGATATGTGCAGCAGCGAATCCTCGAACGACCTACATGAAGACATTTGGAATATCAGAAAAAGCAGGAATAAACCCTGTTATTGACATAGATCCGTAGTAAGGAGACAGACACTTATCAGAACTTCCTGTGAGCTTTGATTTTGTGTACACAAACTGATTATTGATGTAGAAAATATATTTCACTAAAACAGCTATTTTCAATCTAAATCCAAAACATATTTGTCATTTTCTTATTCACTATTTCATAGTCAAAAGATACAAAGAGTTATGCTTAATTTCACCAAAGTTGCTTCAACAGACGCTGAGAGAAAAAGGGGAAATTATTTCTCCAGAAGTGAAACGCCTGTGACGATGCTTTGTGTATACTTACAGCATGTGAATGAGTAAGGTTTTATGCCGTTTAACAATATTCCAGCAATATAACGGCGGGAGACAACAGAAATGGGTTTCACACATTGTACCTTTGTAGGGAATCAAACCCGAACGCTTTAACCCCTGGGTTACTCCACCGTCCCTTCTCACATTAAGATGACTCGCCTTGACATAACTGGCCTGTTCATTAAGACGGCGTTAAAACCCACTGACTCACTCAATGTGATGGCTATTGTCAAGCACGGAAAATGTTGAACTTTCTATCCGTTTTAGCTATATATGGAACATAAGTTTTTTAACTTTGAGCGTATTTAAATTCTAAATAGTTTTGATCTGGACTAGTCTCACGTAGTAAATCGATCCATGCAATAACGTCAAAACCTCCACAGCAGACTTCACCTTTACATGTCCCCCGTACATGTCTCTTTTGAAGATGTCGCACAGGAACTTGTCCTCTTTATCGTTCTCGTAGCATTCATCTTCCAAGATGCCCTCAATCAAGATGTTGCGCGTCAGGAGCCCAACTTCCGCTCTCTCATCCACGTCGAGAGTTATCTCGCCATAGTGAACATGCTCGAAGGAATCTTTAGCAAGAGAGAAAAATGTCTTAGATATTGCTTCATAAAGCAGCTGTCAAATATTCCTTCAACTTTTCCCGTATCAGGATGTACATGAAACCATTCTCAGTGGTTCTTATATGTGCTAACGACATACCCTTGGGTTAATGCTAATGTACATGAAACAATTTTCAGTGGTTCGTATGTGTGCTAACGACATACCCTTGGGTAAATGCTAATGTACATGAAACCATTCTCAGTGGTTCGTATGTGTGCTAACGACATACCCTTGGGTAAATGCTAATGTACATGAAACCATTCTCAGTGGTTCGTATGTGTGCTAACGACATACCCTTGGGTAAATGCTAATGTACATGAAACAATTTTCAGTGGTTCGTATGTGTGCTAACGACATACCCTTGGGTTAATGCTAATGTACATGAAACAATTTTCAGTGGTTCGTATGTGTCCTAACGACATACCCTTGGGTTAATGCTAATGTACATGAAACAATTTTCAGTGCTTCGTATGTGTGCTAACGACATACCCTTGGGTTAATGCTAATGTACATGAAACCATTTTAAGTGTTTCTTATGTGTGCTAACGACATACTCTTGGGTTAATGCCAATGTACATGAAACCATTTTCAGTGGTTCTTATGTGTGCTAACGACACACCCTTGGGTTCATGCTAATGTATAGGAAACCATTTTCAGTGGTTCTTATATACGCTAATGCTGTATCCTGCTGTACCTGCCATGGAGATATACTATCCTCTTTGATAAATATGGATTATACGAGTGCTTCTTACGAAACAACAACAAGTGATGTAAAACACACATAGTTTTGCCCATAATTACAAACAGGTACAATGTACTCACGGTCCAGACGGACTTCATTGGCTTGACAGTCGTCACATTTAACCAGTTTAAACTCTTCTGCCTGTCGCCAGTCAAAATCGGTCGATGCCACGACAATCCTGTCATCTACAGGTAAGAGTGTCTTTAATATTGAAAGTATTAAAACTATCGTTCAGTACTTCCCATCAAGCCGTCTTCACTCAGCGACGTATGGGTATAATAAACACGATAGATTATTAGGTTATCACTGCTTAACCCACAAAGGTCTACCTGAATGTAAAGTGTAACATAAATACCAAATGGAGACTAAGTAAACCACGATTCTAGTAAGAATATTCCCCAAAACGTCACGTTATTCAAATAAAGAAGTTAACAGCCATAAATTCTCCCCTTTATGTGTATCTCTTCTAAATGCCGTTCAAAGACTCAATTTTGCATCAGTCTAAATTGGCCACCGCTGACCCGTTTGTCTTGGTACTCATTTTCGTTTTAAAATGCTTGGTTTGTTAATTGTACCAGTATCTGCTGATTTGCTCCTGTTTTAAAACGTGCCCTGTCAGAATCATACCCGTGCATGATATCACCCGTGCATGATTTCACCAAACAGGTAAACGTCGATTATTTTGATCACTCTGAGGACATAGAGATATCTTTAAGAAGACACGCCATGATAAAACGTGACACTGTTCAGAGCAAACCACGAAACTACCTAATTTGTTTTGATTGTATCTTTCCCCACAAGCCCCACAAGTGCTCCAAAGGGGATGTCAGGTTAAAACAAAGCAAAATTTTGGGAAACTACAGCTACAAAATCTGAAACATAAACTAAAAACGGACAACAGAATTTGTAGCATAAATCTCTTTCAATTAGTAAATGGCGCATGATTAAGAATGATCATCACGATCTTCAAAAAAAACCTGTACTCTTGAAATTTGGATTTGACAAAAGAATTACAAATATTGTTGAACATACAACGTACCAGTAATTGGTCTCTGAAATACTGGAAACATGAGTTGTATAATACAGCTGTGATGTACGTGTACAGTACATCACCATCGAATAGCTACTTTTTGCTTGGTTTATGTTTAGCTGTCAGACTGACTGACTGACTGAGTTTGGTTTTACGCCGCTTTTAGCAATATTCCAGCAATATCACGGCGGGAGACACCAGAAATGGGCTTCACACATTGTACCCATGTGGGGATTCGAACCCGGGTCTTCGGCGTGACGAGCCAACGCTTTAACCATTAGGCTACCCCACCGCCCTTAACTGTCAGACATGGGTGTTTACTTTATTTACCCTAATAATCAGTTTTAATAAACCTTCAGTTGCGTGCATTTGGGCTGACTAATTAGGAGATAAACATCATGTCTTGCCCAATTTCTGGGTGTTATTGAGTATTTGAAGCACGGGAATTCATTTGGAACCGAGGTTTCAAATGAAATATTCCCGTGCTTTAAATACTCAAAAACACCCGGAAATTGAACAACACATGATATTTATCGACATTCTAAACACATATGTAAACTAAAAGCTCCACACGCGTTGTTGTGTTTGCACTCACTGACACCGAGTACGGGTACAGCAATAAAGTAACATCAGACGGCCGTTTCCACTCTCCTACCCAGAGTTCCATGCGGCCAGCATAGTACAATTCGTAACATCTTACACAGTCCATTCAATATAATGTAAATATTTCTTAACTCTTTTATTTTTGACGGATCTGATTAAACATCTTTGATAGATTTGTTTAGTTTCGCTGAGAAAATATCCTAAAACGTGTCAAATATTTCGATTTGCGGAGCGATACTTTGTTTACATGGGCTGTACGGCTCCACGTGCTGTCATCGAAGCCGACGGAGAGCAAACATGCAGCCCGTTTGATATATAAATATCTATTGCCATAAACCTTACTGTCACAGTTGTATAAGAATATTTATGCAACAATGTGAAACATTATGAAGAGCGCGCCGAATCGCTTGCGTTGGGTCTCTACATATTTACGAATATGCGCGTTTGTTTACAAACAAGAGAAAGGTCTGGTCACATGATATGCAAATTAGCCTGTGGCAGTGATGATTAAGCTGGGCCCCGTCTGCATATCGCAATGTACGCAAGGTGGCGCGCGCAAAGCCCGGAACCAGCTTAAGTGATGTTATGCTACAGAGTCGTGCCAAAAGTATTGGGCACTGGGCGTAATTTCTGTAGACTTACATGTTATTTCAGTGTAGCATAACTAATTTTCATGGAGTGAGTTTAGGATGGATCTTTGTAAAATTTGACAGGCAAATTTGAAATCATCTCTGCTCTGCGCACATAACTTCAGTTCAATTTTCCGACCACTATTTAACTAATGACATCACATTTATCAACTTACGTATGGTTCCACAATGCACAATCCCATAGGCCGCCATGTTAAGGAGTTCACGGCACTGTACACATGTTGATTAAATTGTTGGCAATAAGACTTTATACGTATTACCGAATGTCAAGTTTCTTACCGGGTTTCCAGGAAGTGACGTCAGCGTTCAGCTTAATCCTAGGCCGTACCACGTCATCCGACAGAACACGGACCTCAAGCTCTTTGTTCTTGTTTACATCGGCTGATACTATGCCTACCACGCTGAATTTCAGGCTATGGGTATCGTCCAATATGGACAGCTCGCTCGTGGACACAAACTCTTCATTCTTCTTGAAGCGAACGTGTTCCTCCTGGGTAGACGATGCATTCCCTACAACACAAAGTGAAACTCTATGTACTATAATTATACACAAACTTGTTCGGATATGTACCCAAGAGTTATCTTTCCTTGCTCAAAATTTGCTTCCAAAGCGCATACTAGAGTCTGCAAAATCTATCAATTTCGAAATCGGTTTCTGGTGAAAATGTTTATGCTGTCTTTAAATTTTGTATTTTGAACACATATTAAGGAATTTCGCGAACACCTCGTGTCATCACTATTTGATTTTGATTTATAAACATATTCCTATTATTTCTTCTTTATCACTTGCTTCATAACGGCGTTAATATATACATCGACACGTCGCACCTATTGCAATAAAGAAGTTGTTCCTTTGTTGTTAAAACTTGTTCCTCTTCATATGCTTATGATATACTATTGTACAATGGCTTCCGCTTTTATCAAAGATTTGATATCGGTAGGATTATAGATTTGACGTTAAATATTTATGGGAATATGGGAAAAGTTTTGTGGCTTTTATATGTTGCGAGCAGAGAGTAAAGGACAATGTGTATACATCTCAATGATGTGTAATGTGTGTCCAAATTGACTTAATAGTAATACTTTTTTCACTTTAATGTTTAGGCAAATTTTGTGAACGGCGGGTGCTACCGGTAGGGCAGGACATGCTTTCCCTTGTAGTGTACACCTGGTTTCGTCCCTTTTTCACATTCATATATTTTTTCACAGCTAATTTTCTCTTCACACCAAACGGAATGTATTTCTGAGGATTGTCCAGACTGGGTATTCTGTTGCACTGATGTTCTGTATTATTATATCTTCAAATTCGTCATCAGTGTTGCCACGAACCTGGTCTCCACACTGACTCAATATCTAGTTTAGGAATCGCACAATGTGCCTGCACGGAGGTGGCTCGTCTTACTTTCCGTTTTATGTCATTGGCTAACTTAAAACATACCCCATGATTCAACATACCGGTTCAATGCATTCATGAGTGGTAGATAAAATTAATATACATATATACGTGAAGCATTGACGACATTTTGTATTGAAATGTATGTATCATGTAATACTTATGTGTGTATGTTCGAATCTTATTCTTATTACACAACAGGTGTTATAATATTTATATACTGATTAACTGTTACGCTTCATGTCATAACAGATTAATTATTCAAAAATGTGCTGTTTCAATTTACTGAAAAATGTAATATCGTTATCATCAACCTTGACGATGTCAGTTCTGAATTACGAACCTGTCCTTGTGATGAAGGCATATGCTTCTCGACCCTTGACTTGCCTCAGGAGCGATGACGTCAGACCCCCCACACTTTCTACGGCTTCGTAGATCATGTCCCAGTCACGTGACACTGTCCCCTTGCCAAAATCTCCGTTCACAGCAACTACCAGAATCTTATCATCGGGTATGCCTGTTAAAAGCAGTAATTCTATGAGAGGCCTTCTACATTATTTTCAAATTTTCAAAATGTTGTTTTTTTATTAAACATCAAAGATATATTAACAATCACTTCAAAGATGTCACGTTAAAACCGTCACGTTAAACGAAACAAGCGGTTGCCATGGAGATCATATATATTTTAAACATGAACGAGAAAGTAAAACAACATAACTATACTAACCGTCGATGAAGCCCTGGAACATTTCTTCAGCTGTCTTGACCTTCTCGTCGGCTGTTTTAAAGACTCCAAAGTCGTACACGCTGCCGTCCAGGTTAAAGATGATGCCAAACAACCCCTTTCCACTCTCCCACTGGAACTTACTCTCCTACAAAAGGTACAGAATTCGTTTAACATATACGTCGATAAGTGCACATATCTGCAGAGGTGACTCACCTCAACTATCTGACTTACATTTAAGAAGTTGGTAAGCAACAATGAAGGCAAGAACGTTTATGGATAATTTGACATCAACATAACATCTTGGCTTTACTTTGCTGAATCAAACTGATGACGACCAAGTATATGGCATGCCGATATTTGATCTCGATATTCTACACCCCTACTGGAAAAATGTATTATACATTGTTCACAAATCTGCTTTGAATGAGCGCAGATTGTTGGCATTGTCGAAACAGCCGGTGTATTCAATATGAGGTTCGAATTAGTATCTGGTGCAGATCTCAAGCAATAATTTGTAGGAAAACAGATTGTTCCCAAATATATTTCCAAACCAGCCCATATAAATGCAGTAAACTCTCCATAAAAGGTAGTCTGTATCGAGATTATTCAACATATCCCAAAACTGATATTTAATCAAAATGACCACATTCCATAGTGGTTTTGCTGTTTTCCGTTGTTTTCTCACGTCATTGTATATTATTCATTACGTATTAAGTCACGAGCAATATATGCATTGATGCCAGTGTTCTGCATTACAACGTTTAGAAGTGGAATGGACAGTGCCAAATGACAACTATTGCAGAATTTTGTTTAGTGCATCATACACTCTTCAAAACAAGAAACGCACAGACCAAAAATAAGGAATAAGAGTGAGTGAGTGAGTTTAGTTTTACGCCTCACTCAGCAATATTCCAGCTATATGGCGGCGGTCTGTAAATAATCTAGTCTGGACCAGACAATCCAGTGATCAACAGCATTAGCATCGATCTGCGCAATTAGGAACCGATTGCTATTAAACTTACCCGTAAATCAAAAATGACTCCACAGGTTTCCGAGGGCGGCTTTGCTGTCTGTATGAGGTATGACCATGACTTCTTCACGGCGCCGTGGAGTTCTATAGTGCCACCCGCGTCCACACCTATAACCTTCTTACCTATACCCGGCAATTTTTTGCCAGTATTGGATTTACCTGAAAGGATGAAGCAGACATGATCATTTCTGGACAAAAGTGATGCCAGATGCAATTCCCCTTTTGTTCCCGTGTTTGGTATTTTTTTTCAGGTACAAAATTGTCTTGCCTTTGCATGTGTTTGTGACGGGGTCCATCGGTTGGGCAGGATACGCCACCGTTTAGCAGACACCTGGTATCATCACTATTAATTATGATTCTTTACCACATGCTCATAATACAACAGGGGTGCTTGAGTTCGTGGAAGGGCATGCCGATACTAATTATTGTAAATCTCAGACGCAAAGGTTTGTTTCTTGTGTACCGCCGACCCAGGATCAACCCAGATATATGACGGCGGTCTATAGATAGTCGAATCTGGACCAGACAATCCAGACAATCATGATCATCGCTATACGCAGTTGGGATACGATGACATGTGTCAGCAAGCCTTACAACCCGATTCCGACAGTCGCTTCTTCCGACAAGCCCTGGTTGCTGAAGGCACGGATCTTCATGTTCAAATGTTTCATGTTTTGCCCCAGCATTTGCATACTGGTATGAGTGAGTGAGTAAGCTGGGATTTTACAAAGAAGCATTTGTTTTGAATTTCACATGAAGGACTGACAATTATGAAGGAAATGATTAAATTATTTAAAATAATGACACTCATGCACGTCAGCTTATTCACGAAAAAAATATCGTTTGAAACCAATTCTACAAAAGACTTCCGATATAATAATAATAATAATAATCTGTATTTGCACTGAGAAGGCCACAGGCCTATAGTACATAAAGTTATGTTACATTTGAGAGGAATTTAGATCGGGTAATCATAGCATTATAGTAAATGAACATTGAAATATTTTGTAGAAGAACTGGATTTTTACTACTTAACAGTGTGGAGAATTTTATCACATTTGGATGGACATAGTAATATCTTTTAATATATTTTGTTCGCAACCGGTCATAAAATGGACATATTAGGAGAAAATGTAATTCATCTTCTATTTCAAAGTGTACATATTCTAATTTCTCTTTTTACATTCATATATCTGCCTCTTTCAATCAACAAATCATGAGAAGAGCATCTGAATCGTGCCAGTGCTATTCTAAACTTTTAAACATTAACACAGGATAGATATGACTCAAGGACTATGGCATTTTTAAACAATGAATAATACATGCATTTCTTTGATAAGGATATCCTTTCACATCATGTTCGAATATACATATCTTTTAGTCTTGTCGTTAAGAATTGTATGAATAACGTAGGTGATTCGTCATATTGTGTATTCCATGTAATTGCAAAACCAATAGAAAATAATTATACTAAACTGCCAGGCAAAAACAAAACACCCATGTGTAAAATGATTGTGGCTAAAAATGCATCACAATTTTTTTTACCCGGCAGTTAAGCAACAACTCCAGAGTATAATAATTACCCGTCAGCCTAATATGAGCTTTTTGGGTGAAAGGGCAATCTTCGTCCCCGACGATGAACGAGCCCTTGACGTGAATGTAGTCTGTGGTGACTGTAAGACCGCCAACATTGCCCCAAACAAGACTAGCCTCAGACTCGATGACGATCCCTTTCAGATCTGGCGGGGAAACGTTGAGACGGACGTGCTTTCCTTTAGGGATTGTCGCTGTCTCCTTAGCCTTTGGCATGTACTCTTCCCCACCCCAAGTCGCCGCCGAGTCCCAGTCAAGGAGGCTTGAATCATCGTATGAACAAGTTGCAGTGGCAGCACACAGAGGTGCCACAGCGCACAGTGCCACAACCACCTGGAGCAGCATCTTTGTCTGCACGTGGCTGTCACCTGGTATTTATAGAGGGTTGTAGTATTGATCGGCACTTATAACTGTTTTGATTGGCGTGAAACTTTGTTTCTAATGACAGTCCCTACAGTTCCATTGGTTTTGATGAAAAACGGAAAATATGTTTAATAAAACAATATTATCACGGAAGGACAATTCTGTCACGTGTTGACCGAATATCCGTTAGTTTATTTTATATGTACAGATGTTTTAGAGGGAAAAGCTTTTAGCATGAAGATACGAATCAGTGAGCCGTTTTTTGTACACGAGGCAAATATTCCGGCAAAAATTATATCAAGTCTGTAAAGTCTTTGAGCATTTAGAAGTGAAATGTACAGTGCCAAGGGACAGCTATTGTAGCATTTTGGTGCATTATAGTGTAGATTTAAGAGTTCACGTACTGATTATCAGTAACGAGTTGTATTAATGGACTTAAACCTGGCTCTGCCATTCCAATATTGGTATTGTGTCTGTACGTGATGTTGAGTTTACAAGCACAGGTGTTAGACATACAAATGTGAAGACACCTTTTCACTAACACCTGGTACCGTCTCATAAACACGTGTTCATGATACAATCGGAATCATACAATAGATTCTGTTTTCAAGAAAATGCTCTTATTATTTTTGAAAGGGTATTGTCGCTTATATTTGAATTACGACTGGTGCGTCCATATGTCAGGCCCTTACGACACCTGTCTTACTCTCCCTGTACTTGCTATACACACACATGGAGCATCTCACCCAAGTGTTTACTGATATCAAATATATCAACATGAGTTGATAAAGTTACAAATATCCGAGGCTTGCCGACAATATTTTTACTTTTATCAACGAGTGTTGATATAATTGATATCAGAAGACACTTGGGAGAGAGTCTCATTATCACGAAAAATCACTCTTCATTAGTTTTCAATGAAAAATGTATATGTCCGAACTCGGTACTGCCATTCGACTGCCAAGTCATAAAATTGTGATGTCATAGCGTTGTGAGTCGTGTAACTGATGATGTCATAGCGTTGTGAGTCGTGTAACTGATGATGTAAAAGTATTGTGATATCATGTAAATGATGATGTCAGGGCATTGTACAAAATCTACTGTCAAAAAGATGTGTTCTAGGGGATATCGTTTGATATCACAAAAGCAATATCACCAGTGGAGCACAGTTTGGGATAAAGCCATGTAAACATACCACACACCCCTCCTCTCTCTCTTGGATGTGAGTGTACAAATAGAGCACCTATTTCTCGCACGCACGCACGCAGTTAACAATGTTCTCATTCAATGTTGATAACGCTGAGGTCATGGCTGCGCACTACACAGATAGGTGAATCTTTTTTTCCCCACTTTAATAATACATGCCTCTCAGTGGGGAAGGGGGGCAGGGAGGACTCAGTCCCACTATGTCCTGCCATTAACGGCAATGGGCAAATGCCGAACTGAAAAACATTATATCGAATCTGAACATAAACAAATTATATACGAAATACGGCTTTACAGCAAATAGCATGACCATATAAGGGGCTGATACAATTCAGCCGCCATCCGGTGTGAAACAAATCTGGAAGATGATGTGTGACACCTTTGGTGTCAAGGTGTCACACTGAAGTTCATATTTGTCGCTGTATCCTCTCAGGATCTAGAAGTAGCATAAAAATCCCCAAAGCTGGCATTTTTGTCCACTTTACTCAAATTTACGTAATTTTTAACGTTGTACGTTCATAAATGCTGAGATGAGTGGTGCAGGTCCTGCTGTGGGCCATTGAGACTACAGAGGCGTACTCCATGGCCTGCAGCGAAGTGGATGCTGCTGATGGCCTATAGTCCGCCCTATTACTCGCTCTAAGTTAGACTGATTTTTTTATTGTTTTCACACCAGCTATTAGTAAATATCTGATCTGTTACTGTGATTGTATTGTCAGTTGACAACATGTCGTTATGCTCTATAAATGTATAACTTAATCAGGTCAAAATATTTCAACGCGTGACTCAAAATTTTATGTCTCACAATAGAAGCTGAACTAATTAAAACAAAACACGTATCATTATAAACCAAACATTGATGTGTCATACAGATACATACACAATGCTCCAGAGAAAGTATAGTTATCTCTATTGTGTCGACATATTTGCCAGCCTGACTCGACACCGCCAGGTGCAGCACTATAGTGCCGGAAACAATGTCCGGCGGCCCTCGGACTGATCAGCGATAGGGATTCATGCATGGCATATTTCCTGTAAACTGGAAAATTGAAAATTGGCATTGAAGATGAAATTTGGTTCACTTGTTGTTAAACACACTCAATAATACTCCAACTGTCGCAGACTATATGAAAATATGTAAATGTGAACGAGACAACGCGTGATCCGACGTGATTATCCGGGATATTATGTGTCATGGACTGATCAGATCCTCAGGCTCCCAATTTCGTTGACTTTTGTCATCTATTGCTGTCGTTTGATGTCCATGGTGTCAATCACCAGATTATCTGGTTGTTTGGGAATAACAATTTACAGACATTGTCTTTATGGCCGTAGTGAGACCCTGTGAAGACGATACCCCTTGTGACGTTCAATGCGTTGACTCCAAGATACTGTTGAAAGAAGTAGAAACACTTCTGAAGAGATCCTTCCGTACAATGAAACTACAGATAACAAATAACATTCCTGTTCTCAAGCCAACACGTATAGGACATACATCAACAACCACATTTAGAGACATACAAATATGACAAAGGAAACATTCATGAATAGTCTTCTGAGAATTTTTGGTACAGTAAAAAAATATGACCGACCTTCACATGACACAAACTCATGGCGATTTAAAAACGATTAAAACGCTAAACTAGGGTCCCGATTCACAAACTTTCGTAGCACTACGATATTCGTAAGACTATGATAAACTATATACTTACGATCGAGACCGAGGACAACCCTAGTTGAAGTGATGCATCATTTTCCCAGTGGTATATACTACAGTCCGTCTATGCTGAATACAGGAATTACAAAAGACAAAGTGTGTAAAACTATTAATAATATGACAAGGTAGGTCAGCCGGTATTGACTAAGCTGAAAATGATTATACGATTGACACAACTGATTTAAATACCCCATCCACTGCCAAAGATATATGGAGATGAATTATCTAGCTACAACCACGAGGTAGGATACACTCGAGACATCGGAAATGTATTTATCTGCCCAATATTACATTTATATGATTCATATGCCCGTTCACATATATTGTCAAGACTTCGCTGTTTATAGAATGTTCACCAACCAGTGCCTCAAATATTGTTGCCTTTAGCATACTATTGTCTTGGTTCCAAATGAGTATATCAGCTAGACAGACTCTTATTATTCAGCCATTATCAGTACCCCTTTTGCACAAACATTTCAATCACTGTTTGCCTAAATAGTGGTCCGTAATGAAATGTATATGCTCTTGTACCAGCGGTCCGTTGTGTTCGGAGAATAAACTGAATTGATTTTGGTTTTGAATCAACATGGCCACCTTTATGAGTGAATGTCCCAGTTAAAGCTCAACTCCCTCATGTCACAGTCTGTGTTACTCCCTCAACACAATGACAACAATACTAATTGGGATTCGACAACGTTATGGTCTGTTTGTCACTGACTTGTAAAAACAAACAGAATCATCAGTACATTGGAACGGTTTATCCCTAGCACATGACCCATGACATTACAGTACATATCTGTTAATGTAACATCCTACAGTCACGCTTGGCCAAACCTCCACTTACAACCATTAATGGTAATCTGTCATCACTGATGGATTCGATTCCTTTTGCAATGTGTAAAGCTTATTTCTGGTATCCCGCAGTGGCGCAGTGACAGTGATGGAATATTCACAAATGTGACGTAAAATTAACTGACTCACTCACACAATCAGTAGTTAATAGAAGAAGGGATTTGCACCCAGTGAACGTCTTTGTCCTTTGAGACGACTAAATGGATCTTGCCGTCAGTCTCGGCGACTCTGTGACAGCCTACTGTCGGACCAGAACAGAACCAAGAAGGTTCATAAGACTTATAGTCTGTTTGCAGTGAAAACGTACCGATGAATTTTATTTTAAACAAAAAAGTAAATCAAAAAAAGTAAAATTAAGAACAATAAAGTAAAATTAAGATTGCGATTATAGTGGTAATCGTAAAAATATTAAAAGAAAGAATAGTGGATTGTGATAGTGATGGACAAATGAGAGCCATTTGGATGATAATAGCTCAGATAGATGGTGTCACAGATATGTATATATGTGTTAGCTGGCCACCGTTCAAAGCTGGCTATGCCAATGACCACGGTAGCTTTCGTTGAAGCCTGTTGACTGTTGTTTGTGAGCAGGGTTTGGGTAGCCTCCCACATAGGGCATGAAATATCCCCAGCACCCAGACTACAATAATCCATCTCAAAGTCTTTTCATGCTTTAAGTATAGCTGTATCATTAATTTTGATCATTTTAGAGCTATTGAAACAAGAATACCTTCTTAAAACAATTGCCCACTAGAAAGCGTAGAAAAACACCTATAAAGTTTAATTTTTCCCTTAGACGCAATGCATTTTTCAAGGTTAATGTCTTCCTGTACCTATAACTTGTCAATAAACTTTAAATATTTTTTATAGTTCCTGATAGAAAGCAGTTCTTAGAATGTATTTTGTGAAAAAAGCAAAAACTAATTTTCCCAAATTTTTTCCACCCTGACCCCCTTTGGGGGGTCACTGCGGGGAAAATCCCCCGCACCCAGCCTGCAAACACCTGGAATTTGAATGTACATATGATAAGCTTTCAAAAAAATATAGTCTTCAAAATTCCCCCAAGTGGGGGAGGGTCACCTATATCAGCCCATGGACTAACATATTGTATGGTCTTTGTTCTTGCAAATGTACCTGGTCAAGTGATGACAGATGTTTAATATGAGAGTTGTGTTGAGGGACCTCAAAGTTGCACCGAATTATGCTTGGTCAAAGTTGCATGGC